CAGAAACCCCGAAAACGGCACGCGTGCTTTTTCTGTTCTGCATTCCTTTACCTGATTAATATGACAATCCATATAAAACATTCTATTTAATCCAAAAGTCTTGCTGCACACTAACACAAATGTATTTCTGTAACGTTTCGTCTGGCCAAGTTCAGACTCCTTCAGACAAGCATTTTACAATTGTGGCAGAAAACGCAATATCCTGCACATAAATAGTGATATCAAATGTTGTCGTCTCAATGTATGGATCCTACCATATAAAACAGTATGCATATTTTTATGTTTAAACCAGAAAACAGAGAAGAACAGAAGAACAGTATAATATTCCACTAAGATATGAACTTTTGCGAACCCACAGGTGGTCACTGGACGCGTAAAAAAGCATGGGCCGCTGAGATCTTTTCCAGTATTTTGAGCAGGCACAGTGGGATTGGAACTGGTGCCAAGTTACCGACGGCTTTGTCATTGTAATGTAAAATAATTTCGTGAAATTGAAAAATATTGATTAAAATTGTAATTCTACTTTACAGTCCAATTCAAAAAAGAATCACTGTCACAATTTTGGATAACTCTTGATAACGAATACCCATCTCTAAGTAATCGAGCAATCAAACTGTTGTCTGTATTTTCAACCAGTTACTCATGCGTTATGCAAAAAAACATTTTCATCACTAGCTTTGATTAAAACGAAGCAAGAGAATCGGCTGCACGCCGCTGCAAATTAACGTGTTGCAGAAACGTTTTTGAGGCCTCGTTTTTTAATCATATATTGGAAACAAAACAGCAGCAAAATTCTGACTCGAGTTAATTTTGTTTGTACACGATTAGGCATGTACATGTTTTGAGATGTTTTATGTGTACTTTTCTTACGCATAATGAGTGCCCAGGACTGCATTTCATTGAGCAAATATATGGTTTTATTTTATGTTTCACCCATTTCAATTTTTGGCCTTAGTTGAAAAATGATTCTTTGAAGAAGTCTGACATTGGTCAGAAGAAACGTAGAAGATAAACATTTATATTAGTGTGTATCAAGAATCTTGAATTAAATCATCCGAGCAAGAAAAAAGGCCTGAATTTCCGAATCTGATAAATATGGACCCTTTGTGGGAAATTTATATGCAAAAAGATGCAACTTGAGAAATCAAATTACAGTTATTAGCCGAATATCTTTATTAGTTTTAAAAATGGCATGGCTACATTGGGAATTTTGCTGAAAATTGTATTTTGGATGGCTGCATATGTTGTGAATTTTCAACTTTCTCGCCCTCTTTAAAAGGTTAGAAACTCAGGAGTATTTGAGTATTCCCACCAATGACAGCTTTGAATTTATCCTGAATCACTTGGTGTACTATAGGGGCCGTAGACCAGTTTGACGGACTTGAAATTAACATTATGAGCAAACTAATCGTGCTTGAGAATGTATAGAATCCAAATCTGATACAACTTTAAGATCAAACCATGTTTTCCCGTCGGTGATTAGAAATTTTTTTTTTATCTCTTGCCTTTTCTTTTCTGACTGGACTGAATAATTAACTATATTACTCATCCAAAATTTGATATGTAAAAGTAGGTTTTTGATTGATGTTCAATTAGTACTTTTCTCAGATGGAAATGTGTCATTTTATCAGTACCATTCTGCTAAAATGACAACACAACTGTGTTGACAAACATACGATATTTGATGCTTACCTATATAAAAATTTACCTAGAGGTTATTTTTCCAACTGTTCTCTCAATGAAATATTAAGTAAGTTTGCAACAATAAAAAATTTATTTTTAGTATAGAGACTAACGTCTGTATTGTTGAGTCCAAATCGCAATGTGCAATCTAGTTATAAAGTAAAATTTCCTTTTCCGAGTCTGAAATATTCTTCTGATGCTCTGCATAACTTAGCCTTGATTATCTGTTCAACAAAGTTGCTTAACACGTTGATTCCCATATTCAATCTTGCGACTTTAAATACTTACATGAAGACTATAAAGCGGCACCTGTTACTGTTTCAGGATTTCGGGGTTGACAAGTATCTATATAGTGCTTGATAAATCTGAATTTAGGTGAGAACATCCTGCAGGCAACCTATATACCTAAACGTCGAACCTATAACGCCCGTAAATAAACAGATGGTACCTGCAATTCAGCGAAGGGATTAATCAGCTAATTACGTCACTCACGGGTTAATTAGTGAGAAACGTATAGTCGAACGTAAAATCGAAATGTAGCCGTCAATATGAGGTATCTGGCGATAAAAGTTGGAAACAAATTTCGAATTGAACTTTTCGGGCAGCGGGGTTAGACTGAGTGAAAGAATCTCCCAAAGCTAGTAACAACTTTTAATATGCTATAGCTACGCTTTCATCAGCAATGATTTTTCATTTTGTTTTTATTCAGGAGAAAAAATGATACAGTATGATTAATATCATTTCTATATGACATGAAACGCATAGTTGAATTAAAAATACCAACGGCATCAATAATGTTACCAGTAGCCGCTAAAAATATTCCAGTACATATTCGTAACAGCAACTCGCAGGGTGGTGTAATAATTTGCGACAAATCCTAATTGAACATAATAGCACCATTGTTATGAATCTCAACATGCCGATTGTTGTTTATTGTGAGATAGGATATGCTTTATTATTAAATACATTCCTTTTTGGTAATAACTGGAATAAAACTTATTTCACTATCAAGCGTTATTTAATTATATATATAAGTCATACGTATCATACAGCATTCAGCTTCAACCTGTTTGATACAAATAAGAAATTTGGAAGTTTACCGAGCAGGCAGAGGTGTAGAGTCAGGGGCGGATTATGCCCCTTTGGTGCCCTAAGCACTGAAGACTTTGGTGCCCTTTTATGTAGTCAGGGTGGTTCGAGGTTGCTAGTAGGGCTGGGCATTCTGAATCGAATATTCGAATCGCATAGTGGAATAGTCGAAAAAATTATTCGATTCGATTCTGAAGTCACAAGGTATTCGAAAATGCCCAGCCCTAGCTTGCTAGGTTGAAGGACCGCAAAAACTTTTGAGGAGGTCTCGCGGCCTCGCGGGAACTGGATTGCGCGGCGTTAAGTCGGCTCTGCGTTTCGTCGCTACTGTCACATGGCCCACGTTTGAAAACAGAGGAGTGTTTTTGGACACATAGTGGACCTAACGATCGTTTCAATATTATGTTGTTGTTCTTCTTGTTCTTTGACACGTTTTGAAGAAATCGCTTTTCTCTTTGATTACTGGACCAATTGATTTGAAATTTTCAGTGAGTAAAGGTTATATTGTTTGCTGTTACTTTGATGGCTGTTACTTTTATTTTTTGCTATGACCTCATTAAAATTATGTGGTGCTACGTGTACATATATTTGAGCATAGCTCTCTTGTTACTAAAATAAGGGCACAAAGCGTTAGAAAAAAGGGTTTGAATCTCGGGATCCCAACCCCAGTTGGAATAGCTAAAAAAAACTCAAAAACGTTCTGCTATTGGATACAAATATACGCTGAAATTGTTCTGTGGGCAAGCACAGAATGTATCAGCATGACAGGGTTTGGACCACCCTGGTCTATCTTATCAAAAACTTCGCTGACCACAAGATCATTGAAATGCAATCGTGTAACTGTCACATTATGCAAATAGTTCATTGGTCTGATGTTTAAAAGCAAAGAAATTTTTTTAAAACAAAAAGGCAGCAACAAGGAGAATACTGGGAAGAAAAAACAACAACAATTTGCCCTAAGCACGTGCTTATATTGTTTAATGGTTAATCCAGCGCTGCGTAGAGTGCCCAGGGTGAAGGCGAAGGTTACCAGACGAAATGGCAACCCGTGCACATGTGATGGTAGAGTTCTTTTTTTCATTAATTTATTTGTTTTATTAGCTAAGTTGGGTGCAGTCGTTTAGTATTTCTTTACTCTTTTTCAGAACGATTTACAAAATGCTCGATTATGAACACAAGGTTTCCATCCTTGGTGAAATATGAAGATTTTGTATTGTATTCTTTTTTTTTTTTTTTTTTTATTTCCGAGTGAGTTTGGATACCAGATTTCCAAACTCTTTTCATTGAGCTCCGGAGATAGTTCAAGAAATTCACGGCTGTTGGGAGCGAATATAAAAAATTATAAATTCTAGACAGGTAGGAAGAAAGCTTTACGTCGATGCAGAGTGATTCCCAAGCTTGTATTATGTTGAGAAATTCCACACTTTAATAATTGTGGGTGTTCATGAACTAAAAAAATCTATTCTACCATTAAAAAATGATAATTTAGTGAAGAAACCGGGTAAAATTCACGCAATACTCTATTATGTCACTATGCATGAAACTGTTGTTGTTCAATCTTTAATGACTCCTTTGCTAGAAATACGTGACACTTGCACTCTCGCATTTGTACAGGTTTAATAGTTTATAATGTTAATATGAATTACGATAATTCTGAATCAGTAAGGAAAGTTAGCGAGGGGCGGATTTTCTCTTTCAGTGTTAAAGTTAACGAGCCTAATAAATAGGACAGAAAAATAAAACAATGCGACAATGTATATTGCCCGTTTTATATTTGGAGGTCAGCTAGCAAAGTTTTTGCTTTTGTTACTAAATCTATTGTATATTACTTTTGAATTATTGGTTTAGGTATGTCGAAATATTGTGGCAACTTAAAAACTATATATTTCTGTTCATTGAATCCACACAGCCAGAATTTTAAATTATCTCTTGATTGTCTCTATAGTAAGTAGTAACGTACTGAGAATTGTAGCTAAATAGACAACAGTTTGTACAATATTATTTTTATTATGTTTATTATACAAGTCAAACAAATAAATATAGTAGATAGCAATGTTACATTCTCTTCATTGTTTGACACAAAGTGAACCTAAGTGTCGATTTGTAAAATTGTTGTTTATCTCGAAATATTATATTTGTGAAAAAAACGCATTTCTCTGTAAATATTATACCAATCAATTAGAAAACGACACCTAAATGCAAAAGAAGTCCGATAGAACCAGTTATGGTTTGACACGGACGGGATTCGATGGCGCAATAAATTCCGTATTGGTAAGACTACAAGTTATTTTTGATAAAATTAGTTAACGACTAGAATACATGCCTAGTTAATGGTAATATACATTTACACAACAGTTTTAAACGTCTGTTTTTTAAACAAAAATCCAACGCCAGAAGACTAAACTGAGATCGCAGCTATTTTATTTAAAGTTCTGAAGTAAGCTCAAAAAGTGAAATTACCTACATTTCTAAAAAGTTTAAAAGTTATTGGAAGAAGGTCGTAAAATAAATTACAAAATATTACAATAATTTTAGAGAATCTTTTAATGAAAGCTTAATAAATATTCAAAATATAAGATAATCATTAGATTTTATGTCATGTTCCCACGCTTTCTATCTTCAAGTATTTTTTTCAAAAACATAACAAGCCATCCAGACAGTACAGCGTGAAAGAACAAGTCAGGAAAAAATGCCCAAGCTATGGCAAGCCTAGACGCCGAACCAACCCACAAATATAGAATTTGTCGATAGAAATCTAATCCACTGAACGCGACTCGATACATAATTTCTAATGGTATAACATGAGCTATTTCAACTAGTGTAAAAATGAGAAATTGATAGAAATCAATGTAGAGAATCATTATAATCAATCCTGTATTAAGGATTTGACAAATAAATGCAGCTGATTCAAGATGAGGTCTCGTGATTAGCATTGATGCTCCCAAGATAATCCACAACATGATATTCATTCCATAGAAATAACCGGCTACAAAGACGCAAGTGAGAACCAAAAATGCTTTTGGCAAGTCGTCTTGAATGATTTTCTGCAATAACGCGATAGCTTGTTTTGAAAATGAAAAGGGTTTTAAGTCCATAGTCCGATTTATGAACCGGTTCAAGTCTCGTGGAAGTAATGTACATTAGTGTTGAAAATATCCACATCCTCTTGTCGTCTGACATTTCAATAGCCAATTAATTTATTGCACATTTATTTGATCTCGCTGGGACATATGATATAATCTATCCAAATTATTCATAATCATATCTCAATTATAGGATTGAAGGTTACTGATAATAGTACTGCACGAGAGAATCACCAAATGAAAATTGGTTACTTCTAATCAATGTAAAAATAGATAATACCCAGTGCTGGGTTTCAAAGTTTAACAATTGGTCTCCTTTGTTTCGAATTCACGAACAACAGGTTTTTCCATTTCAGAAAAGTATGCTTTAAAAACAAGATTGTGTTCGCCGATTACTACGACGTTCCACTCACTGGTCATACCACCTTTACAATACTAAGTGATTTTAATTCAATTACTTTTTTAGGATAATGTACAATACCCTCATCTGTGCAGCTTGTCTTTCTTGAATACTTTCTCCGTTGTTTTCAGACCGGTTCAGTTGATGAATAAGGTTCAATGCTTGCAGAGCAACCAAAAATTCAGTTTGATTTCGCTGCGGTCGATAATTCAAATTTTCCAATCCTTCCATGGTTATTTCAATTTGGTCCTGACTGGGATGAATAGGATTTGTCGGTGTTGGCGCTGGATTTCTTACTGCCGAACACAACGGACACCCCCTGAAACGAAAATATTCATTCATAAAATGTTGCAGGGTATTATAAAAAGGAAATTAAAATAATCAAATTGGGCATATATACATTCAAAGACACGGTACTTTGTTCTTATATCTGACATTGTGTCGCTAGAATATCTTTGTAACCAAAGTATATGAATGACATATGAATTCATAACTAGCCCACTTTTTTAACCGTAGCTGCAAAGGCAATTGTTTTGATATTTTCGTAAATAAAAAATGGAAGTGTTCATTAAATGGCCGTTTTCATCATTTTCTAAATAATCTGTGGGCCAGTTGGTAAACCAATTTATACAAAAAACCTATCCTATCACGTCTCCACATGTGGTAGCAGAACAAAATCGTGTACGTGTCTCAGCATTCGTAACTTATTACCTTTCGTTTTTCTGCAGTTCTTGATTACATCCGGCACAAACAGAGTGATCACACAGTAAAGCTTCATCGGTATGTAAGCGAAAACACAAACTACATAACTTCGATTTTGGTAATTCATCAACACTGTGAAATTGGTATGAACAACCGCCAGGACAAACCAACCGCGCACTGCACAAAATGAAATCACAATTTATACAAATACTCAGATCAAACCAACTTGGATAGAATAAAATTTAAAAAGTTGTATATCAAATATTCATATACGATCGATACGTAAAATAACTGTTATATCGAATTCCAGGTTGAATAATAGCAACTATATATATCAAAAAGAATTTGCACAGACTAAAAAATAAACACTTGGAACACTTACTCCGTTACTGCTGATTTCTTCGTAATGCAATCGATGCAGTACAGTTTCGAACAACATGGCATAACTTTTGAATTTTTGAGAATTTGGTTGCAACATCCACATTTCAAAGGTTTGGGAAGGTAACGAATATTTTCAAATAAACTTACTTGTCTGCACTCATGACATTTTACAGCTCTGTGAATCAAATAAAATGTAGGCAATAAAGACACCTAAACCCATTTCATGATTGAGGGAAAAGCCTACAAATAATTTAAAAAAAGAGAACACAATTTTGAACAATGAAGAACAAAAAGAGGAACTCCGCAAGTCGTAACAAACGGTATACAAAAATATTCTTTGTTATAACGGATGGCCATTTCAGGTATGTGCATAAGAACGTTTGTTTTCGTGTTCGGAATCTATTGTTCATTTCATTTCGACATATTGTGCAATCGCATGGTGGATAATGGTAAATAGATGGATCAATAAATTTACTTGTATACCATACGCATTCTAATATGCGCGATAAATAAATAAGTTTCTGACATCACCCACCTTCCTTCGCCTCGTTGTGCCATGTTAAGTATACAATTCATACAGGCGAAATGCCAACATGACAGCATTCTCAAATCTTCTTTGTTTTCAAAACAAATAGGACAATTTTGATCTTGTATTTGATCCATTATATTTGGAATCGTTCCTCGCAGATAAAATTGTAATCCTGCTTACTGAATTTAAATGAATATAAGACTGTTTCCTATCATTTAACACCTCAACCGTGCAACATTAGTCTATTTCTATTATATAAGCCAAACCAGGTGTCACAGACAAGAGATACATCGCCAAGAATTAAAAGTATAATACTTGAATGAAGCAGCCTAAGCCGTTTAGAAGCTGCCCAATACAACACCTGACACATTCAAAATGACTCTCAGCGAATACTCTGATATATCTAAACTATCACTTACTTATATATCAAAAATACTTCACATTCTATTGTTCAAGAAAAGCAGAAGTATTTCAATTAACAGGTTGAATGAAATTGAATACAACGCAAAACAATCGTTATACGAGGAGTTCCTTTGAAATATCAGGAGGTTTCATAGGTATTGTTAAAAACGTGGAACATCTCTCATCATGAATGACATTTTTATTATAAATGTATTTTGTTTAATTCTCACATTCGAATTTACCAAAATGTTATTCAAGGATATTTGTAGTTGAAACAGCTTCTGCAACAACTGAATAATTTGTCATGTTTGCACATGAATCGTATATTGCTGTGAAACTACGGCAAAAGGGTGCGTTTTTGTCAGCTGCACACGCTACCGTAATATTAATTTCAAAAATAAAAAATGAAATCTTGCCTTGCGTATTTTCATCGCCAGTTAGTGCCTACACTAAAAAGATAGTATTTCACCAGCAATGTTTATTCGATAAACAAAGAAGGGCTTTGAGATTCTAGTACAGATTCCTAACAGAGTGGTATAGTTAAACACGAGAAAATAACACTGATAAACGTACGCACCAGTGTGTTGATAAATCGAGACAAATCAATCAACACCATTGGTATGCATCTCAACACGCCACTAGACGTTTATTGTGGAATAGGATATGTTCAAATAAAATTTAATTACTTATTGATAATTACATGTAATCAATCTTATTTCATTGCCAAGCGCTATAAACTAGGCATGCGTACAATACAGCCTCTATCTTCACCCAGGATGATACAGATGAGAAACAGGCGGAGCTGCCGTGCCCAATGACAACCTATGCACATAGACTGGTGAAGTTTTTCTTTTCAATAATCTATATGTTCTATTAGCTAGGTTGCGTGCAGTCGTTTAGTTTCCTTCACTTCCTTCACTTTTCAACGACTTACAAAATGCACGATTTGGAACACAGTGAGTTCATCCTTGGTAAAATATCAGGTTATTTTATTGTCTTTTATTTATCTTACAACTTTGTACACGACCCTAAGATAATAAAAACAAGGGAGCGATGCTGAAATATACAGACACGAAATCCAAAACGAAATGGTACGGTAGAAGCACGCAATCTGCCACAGTATTGGATATTTGCCTACACACATAAGATTAGGAAGGTAGATAGAAAAACATTTCACGCTATACAACCCCGGGTGAAATTGGATACCAGATTCTAAAACTATAATGCACACATTTTGTTACAGGATCCAAATTTTTATTAAGCTTCGAAGATAGTTGATAGATCCGACTGTTGGGAGCGAATAGGAAAAATTATAAATTCTGAACAGGTAGGAAGAAAAGCTTTACGTCGATGCAGAGTAATTCCCAAGCTTGTATTTTGTTGAGAAATTTCACACTTTAATAATTGGGGGTGTCCATGAACAAATAAATTCTATGGATATCCACGTTATTAATTTATATTTGCATCCATGATCAATATGAACCCATAAACGTGTACACCTGTCGACAAACGCAGCTTCTCGGTACCATTGTACTTAGGCAAATCAACTATAGTCAGCCTCATATTCCAACGTTTATATAGCATGACACTGCAATAAGATAAATATTGGGAAACACGGATATGACAACGAAAAAGAAAGGCAGTGTGACATGTAAGGTATTTTGCCACATACTGCTGTCAAATCGAATAACATCGGATTCTTCCTAGCCTCGGATTGAAATTTCAAGACGGTATTTCTTGACTTAAATCAGTCGTATCCACTCTTTGAGTGGGTTTCATTTCTTATCATACAACAAAATTCCGTTAGAATTTAGTTTCTGATGCAAGAACATATATTATACTGAATATACCATAAAAAAACAAACATTAAACAGCATAATATGCAATAACGCCAGTACAGGATAAATTTATTTATCCAAATAAGTTTAAGCATATATAATATTTCTAATTAATTTACAAGCTGGTATTTCAGTAGCCTGGACTCACAATTTGGAACACTTGACTTTGATTATACTAATCCACTTGAAAATACAGGGCTATGACGCGATATGGAAAGCTTTCAGGTGACAATATCATGTATGTAGTACATAACATCTAATGTGTAATGGAAACGTTGTGTATCGATTTATTTTCTTAACATAAAGCAAATACGATTTCATGTTGCTTTGTCTTGTTATCGAGGAAAATTTTGCTGTTTTTAAATATCAAAGCTAGGATTACACGGATAAATTTGATGTTTACTATGAAAATGCAATAGAAAGATAGATGGAGGTAACAGAAAGGACTAAAAGGTATTTTTATGACAAAACCTTGACTTGGTATGGAATAATTTTCTTTCTTTTTAAAGACGAAAAGAATTAAAGTTAACCTTGTTCATTCTCTGCTTTAGAAAAAGATTTACCAAACACCGCACAAGGGCTGAAGTGAGAAAAAACGAGTTGCCACCATCTAAATGGCAGAATTTATCTTCAAGATATCCTTTGGCAACTATACCAAGACCAACGGACGAAAGGCCCGACCCCACCCGCAAATTGAAAAAAATTGGGGAGCTCGTTAAGTATGTAATAACTAATACCAGACGACAGACGAATATAATTAGAAATATGAATTGTTTATAGAGAATTTTGCGTGCTGGATCTGCCTATCTTGTCTGAAATTTTAATGTTGCAGTGCTGTTAGGTATATCATTTATTTTATTATATATCTACTGATGTTCATATCTTGGGACATGCAAAAGCGTTATGTCATTTTCATGTTATTATTGCTGGTCAAGCTTATCGGGTCATGGGAATCAGTATGACTTAATAGTATCTTCCAATCTCCGGAATTTTACTTAAGTTATAAAATCACAGTTAGAGAATGGTGAACAATATCTTTCACGATTCAACAAATAGCACAGGTGTTTATCTGTGGATGGTATCCTTAAAATCATGTGACAGGTACAAAAATCATTTGGTTAGACTTCAAATCTCCTTTTTTTCTATTGTCGTTGGAATCAAGGTTGCCGAGCAAAAGCAAAAAGTTTAAAAAACACGAAACTGGGAGAAAGGGTAAATTGAAGAAATTGAGTAAGAAAAAGGATTTAGATCAAGCCAGACCATCAATACCACGAAAGACACTTCAAAAAGTTGGTTCTACTGCATCAAACGATGCACCACCAAGTTGCAAAGATGTTCATATATCTCTTCCAGACTATGAGCACATGCCTATTTTACCAAACGCATCTCGTGTTACTGGTAAATGTTTTTTAGTGCTAAATATGAAAAAAATTAAATTTACTAACAAAAATTACGTTTACGATTCATCTTATTCTTATTCAAGATATTTTTGTTTCAGACGCGGGACGTCACTTGAACATCTTCCAAATTATAACTATCGTGAACATGATTTTTTCGTTATTATCTTCAGTCATATTGATATCTTTTTTAGGTAAGGTTAAAAGTATGCCATTACAATGTTTTGTGTTTATATGTTGTGTATATTATCGAACGTATGAGTTTTTGTTTCAGAGTCCAGCAGAGAAGATATATTGGAAAATAACAAGGATATCAGTAAAATGAAAATCAACATGGAACGATTCCAAAGAGATCTTTACCGCGATGTTTACAAGAGAACAAACCCGTTAAAATCTCAACTTTCTGTTATTGAAGAAGACATGTTGTTAATTGCTGCTAATTTAACGAATTCATCAATGTTCAACATAGAAGCACTTAGGTTTGATACTGCCAAGAAGCTTAATCTCATGGAAAACAATATGTTAGAAGTGGAACAAAATTTGAAAAAATCAAATCAGAACTTGAATAATTTATTGGGTGGTGTTCAATCAGAAATAGGAGAAGTAAAACTTGGTGTCAGAAATTTGTCGAGCAATTCTTTGAGATTTGAGAATCAATTAAAAGACATTGAAATTGAACAGGAATCGAATAAAATGAATATAACTGTTCTTGTAGACACCATTCAACATAAAATTGAAAGGCTGGATCGAAACGTAACCATGTATGAGAAAAGTTTTCAAATAGAGTTGTCTGAAGTTGATGAAAAAGTAGAAAAACTTGAAAATTTTCAACTGCAGGAAACAAATAAAACTAATATTCTCCTACGGGACGCTGAGGAGCAGCAGAAAATGGTTGATCTAGCGTTATCGAAACTTGAAACAACTGAAACTTCTTTGCTAAATTTGAAGACTGAAATAATAGATTTATCGCAATCGTTGTTCATGAATACAAATAACTTATCGTCTTTATCAAATGACGTGGAACGTTTTAGAAATGATTTGGAACAAAAGTTGGAAAACCTAACTGTGCTGTCTGAAATACCAGTTCTTAACAGTGAACTGAGGAGAATTAAAAGAGATCTACAAGACGAGACGACAAAAGTTAATGAGAACAATAAAAGCCATGGACAACAATTAGATTTGATTATGGAAAACATCCACGAAATAAACACATCTGTCGTGAAGTTAGACAAAGAGACAAAGAACCTGTTGACAATGTTATCATTTAATGATAAAAAAGTAGATAATGTACTCGCGGCAAATAAAGTGATAAATGCTAGTATCAATGGAGTGACTGCAGAAATGAAAAGTCGAAACGATACAATTTCAAATTTGACAGAATGGTTTGATCAAAATAACAACAGAGATAAATATATGAGAGATGAATTTGCACGATTGCAAAATGAGTCGGAATATTTCAATATCAGGATACAAGACATTGAAGCAATAATAGACTCGAAAGCCAGATTGAAAGAATTAAAATCTCTCAGAGAAAAAAGAAAGCGCATGGAAAAATGGAGAAACCTGGAAAAACGATACCAAAATATTACAAACTCCACAACATCTTCTCTCAACAAAGAACATAAAAATCTGCGGAATGAAGGCGTAGTTTTGTATTCAGAAAAATCGTTGGAAGAACTTGAAAACGCACTAGCAAAATTAACCTCCGATATTGATAAGATAAATAATAATTATTCACGACTTTCTGAAAACACTAGCAAATGTGAAATACTTTTTGAAAATGTTCAAAACTGGAAAGAAGTGACAATGAATAATAAAGACAATATTGTAGAAATAAAGAAGTCAATGGAAAATTTCAAAAACAGCGAAAACATTGTTGACCAATGCATGGAACGATTCTCATCGGATTATTCTGAGCGGTTTGAAGAGTTTAATAAGAAACTAATGTCCGTGAAAAAGTTTGAAAATTTACATAAAAATGAGTTGAAAAACTTTACCTCAATAATCAATTCTCAAGCCCAAAACATTGAGGAATTGCAAAATAAATTGCAGGAATGCACAAGTCATACCGAAAATAGTATCGGAGATATGAATATAAAAATTCAAAATGTTAATAATCACTTGCAAGACTTTGAACATTCCATTAATGATTCTTTGAGTAGAGCGGTGACTAAGATACAAAATATGGAAAGTTTGCAAATGTCTTCGAAGAAAAAATGGACGGAAATAGAAAACCAAATAACAAGTATGCAAAATCAAGATCAACAAAATGAAACTTCGCAACTAATAAATGATGTAAAACTTTTAGATGATAAGGTCGAAGATTTGACTGCCGAAGCTGAAAAAGTTCAATCTGCTTTTAAAGATTTGATCTTGGATTATAGAGATATTAGAAACATGAGTCACCTACTAGAAGTAGAACTTAAAAAAAATAAAAATAATGTCGAAAACCATACACGCACTTTTACAGATGTAAACAGAAGAATTGCTTCCTTGGAAGAGAATCAAATTCCTAATGCAACGTTGGAAAAACTAAAAGCGGCAATTAACAATTCAAGAAAAGATTGCGAAGCAAAAATTATTGATGCAATAAATATGCTAGAAAAAGATATATTTTCATCGTCTGAGAAAGTTCAGTCTGAAATCATAAATATAAAAAGAGAATTGAATAGTTTGGTAACAAACCTAAATACAGACAATGACCAGACAATCATGACAATGACCGAAGAACATCTAAAAATTGAAAAATATTTGACTCAAGTCAACGGCTCTCTGGATGCGATGCAACTTGATGTTAATGGCATTAAAAACGATCTGGAAACATTTCAGAACATACGCCGTGAACTTGATACATTGGATAATAAAATCAAAGTGTTGTCTACCAAATTGAACAACGTAACTTCTAAATTACAAAGAATGCAATTTGATATAAATAGTGAAGAGACATATACCACTAACATAAATGAAAATTCATTCCGAGAACTGAATGAAACGTGTTCAAACCTCATGAATGAAATCGACTCAATAAAGGTTAGTCAGCTTTTTGGTTTATTGTTAAAATTAACTATTATTTCAATGTGTTAAAATGTATTATTTCTTTTACATATTAATTGAAAGTTACTCTAGGATATAGGTCTTTCTAAATACTGAATACTTTAATTCATTTTATTAAGTAGCTGAAAATCGACGAAAAAGAGAGATACCTCATAATCCTGAGATATCATTGAAACTGGTACAAATCATTCATTCTGGGAGAAAAAATTTAGGAATGTCAAGTTCATCTGTGAGGATTCAGTCTCTCAGGCAATGTTTGCTTAACGAATTACTCACGAAATAGTTACGAAGGTTGGGAAAAATTGTGCTCTCTGATACGAGTTATTGTACCATATTTAGATATTGTGAGATGAAAATATTTTTTTATTGAAACAAACTTACACAACATATTTTTATTTTATTTCCTATTAGAAAAACTTTAAAGAGGACAGAACATACGACGAACTCTTTTCAAGTTTGGAAACGTTGTCCATCGACTTAGCAAAAACAAATTAACGGTTAAATAGTATCGATTATAACACTGGTGAACTAAAGACAGAAGTAGTGAATTTGAACACATTGCTTGATGAGATAATGACAAAGTAGGATGAATTATCAAATCTAATTCTACTTGTGAATTCACGTGCAATTCACATCACGAAACATCATACTGCACCACTGTATCATAAATTAATTTATTTATTTTTCTATCGCACTTACAAGGTGGGCTACAGATAATAAAATAATGTGCAATACAAGGAGGTATGGAAGCAGAATGATCGCTGAAATTGGAATTAGAAGGATCTCTGAGATCAATATATCTGTTGAGATTATGAGATATGAGATCATATTACTGTTGTAATTATTTACTTCAGCCTTTTATATTTATAGATTCGATTCTTTTGAAGAAAAAATCACTGAGAAACAAAACCTTTCTGAAACAAGAATAAACAATTTAGAAGTTTCGTCGAAGAAACAAATGAGGAATTCTGCGTCAATGGTTTGTATTGTGCTTGTTAATCGACTTTAATTTTTAGTATCAAATGCGCTAAACTTTATGGCAGTCTTAAAATTCAAAATAATCAAAAATCGATTAAAGAGTATTGAATATTGGCGACGAGCGATTATCTGATGTTTCGCCAAGATGTTGACTTTCCTCTGCATTAAAATTGTACCATAGGATACTCTAGAAGCGATATATAAATTCACTGCACCAGAAAAGAAGACAGAATTTCTTATGTCAAATTTCTTTTTGAATAAACTGACATGTTATTGTCTAAAATATTGCAACTATACAATATAACAATAGTTCGATGTGACGTCACGGCGCCGCCAAACATAAGTATCTTAGAGAACAATCACGCGGTAGTAAGAGCAACAACTAAGAATATATATGTTATAGTAATCATATTGTAATTTTAATAACAAAACTGTGGGATAAGCTTACAGTACAATAATATTTTTATTCCAAGTTACACCTACAACCACAAGATCCAGTTTTACCAAAGTCAATTGTATCAGTCAATTTTGGTTTACAATTTTTTGAAGTTACTTAGTACACTACTTTCAATTGCAGAACGAACTAATCGAAGGAAAACAAAATTTGAACAAAGCTGTCGATTCCCTTCTAGATCGAGAGAACGAACATTCATTAAGAGTTGAAACACTGGAAGAAGTCCAAGCTTCTCAATTTCGAATCCTGCAATCCGTAGAAATTGCAACAGCGAATTTAAAAAGAAGATTAGATAAAATACAAGCGAGATTTCTCGAACCCGACTGACTATAACACAACAGTGACAACCGGATAACGGAATATATGCAATCCAAAGAGATTGCTTCGAAATGGTCCGTCTTGTTATTGCTCTATTACTTATATCATATTGTATTAATTCTATGAGAATTTATTTTGTATTATGTAAATAGCATTGATTCACATAAAGCATTATTGACTCTTCACGTTTTTTTTTCAAGTTTAATTTTGAGAGAACTCAACTAAAGTTTTTTACAGATTTCACAAATACCCATACTGATGATTAAATATTTCACTGTATTTTTCTAATAAATTGGGTGGTGACTATCAAATATATATGCCGTCAAATTCCCACTTTATTAACTATACAAGTTATTTATTTGAATCTGTTTACGCTTGATAAAAATGACAATACTTGCGGAAGCTTATTTCGCATCATGACGTTTTCAAGTGCAATTGAAACTAAAATGAAGTGGGATACATCGCATACGAAATAGAGTTGAAAGTTACTTTTACCGCCATAAATGCTCCTTGTTTTAATATTACTGTACTGGAGTGCTTTCGACGTAAATCCCAATGACTACTATTGAGTATTTGTCTATTTATATACCTAATATTATGTGGCTTTTATGATTAATCACATCAATGAGGAAACACGGTTCATCTAGCTACACGCACCAATTATCTCATCTCAAAATAAGTTATTGCGAGATCAGTTATTCTTTTTTGTACAACTGCGTTACAAAATGAAGTTTTTTACAAAAATTTACACTTGTGTTTCAAAACACGAAAAGATTTTTACAGCTCAGCATTTCATTACAGTTTCAAAGCTCTACCTCTTTTCATGAATTTTTTTTATTTATCAAATAAATCATTTTACTTGAAACATAACAATTTTGTGATTATGTCCTTCCTATTGGAATATGTCAAGATTAATTCAAGGCAGTCGATGACATTATTTAAATGAAAACTTGCATTTTTCATGCTTGTTTACAACATATACCAATGTACATAATAGCTTATATATAGCGGCTTATATTATTTAAGCAGCGAATATCTTTTCGTCGGAACATTTCTGTGAATCTCTTCCTTTTTTCTATTAAAAATGCTCGCGTTTCACAGACGACAAGATCTACACGATGTTACTAATAGTAATTATAGTATGAATATCTCTGCAAGGCTGTAGCCCAAATCTTGATACCATGTGATTCTATATGGAATTGAACATAAAATGCTAATCAAAACTCAATGCGAATGTACATATAGAATCTAGATAAAAAGATACATCTATTCAGTGCAATATTATTAGCAGTTTACCATGAGCATTTGGAGATCAGCAAGCTGTCTCGTAAAATCAGAAACTTCCTATCGACTATATTGTTCCTATGTCTATTAATTTGAATGTTCAAAACCGATATTGGGCTATTCCAATGTCTGCTAAATGTTCTCTTGGCAATGAACTATCGAAGCATAAATTTAATTGGTTCAAACTACTGCACAAAATGTGAAACGTGTTTACCTTTTAAATATTTGTCGGAGAGAGTGAAAGTTTGCTTACAATGCGTGACAAAACCTACTGATGCTATATATGATGTAATATAGATTCTAGCAGTATATTTAGAAGGTATCCGCCTAATTTTTGAGACAACAACGCGTTTTTCAGAAAATTATTCTGGAAATTATTCTTAAACTGCTTAGCGTAGTTTTAGTAGTATCCCAATTCCAGATGCTGACAGCATCATAAATTAAAGCCAAGCATAATCTCATTGTAAATGCTAAAGGTTTAACTAGATTTGCTGTGACATAAGAGTGAGGCAAAGGAATTATGCAACGTGGAACTAGATGAAAAATTCTAGCTTTGTATTTTGCAGTTTCTTCAATAATATCTCCGATAGTTGGAACATTTGAGCAAACTTGTATACAACCAACCGGAAAAATTACATTTATAATAAAAAAAGCGAAATTTGATACCAAAACGAGGTTAAGTGATAGTTGTTGATAATTATTTTTCTGACGCCGATACTAATATTTGATCAGATTACCGGTTTACATTAAGGAGCATCCACCCGACCACTTTAATCTGAAGTAACTCCAATAAAACCCAACTTTGAGTGGCATATGTGTTACAGGTAAACAAAGCAGATAATAAAATCCAATTTATCGCAGGATGTAAATACTTCTGTCTTGTATGTCGACTTCTTCTTGTTTGTCTTGCGCGATTACGGTATTGGGACATTGCTTGTCGTTGCAATTACTTATCGGTTACAGTCAGATTGTCTGAAGTACGTAAACTTACCTGTTTGAGGTCGACTTGGATATTCGTATCTGCAATCTTTGTAGGAAACTTGAAAGCAACCAAAATCAGCTGTGGGATGCAGTTGGTTCGCGCGTGAAAATTGTATATGAAAATTGCAAATGCTCACAAACATTACCCAAGTACGAATGTTAAGATATAAATCATTTTTTCAGTTGATAACACTTAATGATGGATGTAGCTTATACGATTGGATATTCACCCGTAGAAAATTTAAGTTACAAAGTATCTGCGGAATTTTGGGCAAATAAAAGTGCTGTTTGTTCATAATTGTCGACTCCCTACCCATTTTGATAACGCTTGAGGAAATATTTGCCGTAGACCATTGTTAAATAGGTAGGGTTTAACGAGTCTTTATTTATCGCTATTGTTGGCTGGACTTTTTATCACACAGACAAGAGTTTCAAACATTTTCGTAGTCATGTAGTCAATACTGACAAGAACATTTTTGTTTGATGAATATCCAATTTGCAGATTTTTGGCGTGATACTCGAGAATATATATATTTTTGTATGGATGGAGTAGGCACATTGAAGATCAGCAAAGTCCTGAGTTCGATATAGTTAGTACCTTGAGGAAGAACTAGTTCTATATCGAGGTTCAATATGCACGATTGAAAGATAATTATATTGCGTTGCTACTTTTTGGTGAGCGGATCAATCAAGTTTAGTTTAATCGAGAATTCCATGTTTTTCTCTATGAAATCTGCCCATAACATGATGTGTCTGAAATAAATGTACTATGTAAAAATGGCATTTTAATTAAGTATTTGAAGACGAGCTAGACAACTGAAATTGATATAAATAAACCAGGTACAAGACGAAACGAATGTCCAATTGAGGTAGACGATACAAAATAAATTGACTGAAGAAATTGAAACAATTTTCTGAGTATTTTAGATTACTGTAGTAATGCTCCTATATTTTGGCAACTTGCTCATTTTTTACATTATATGAAGAAATCGATGAGCCAGAGGTATCTTTTGCGAAAGAATGAAAAATCGGGCTTCCGCATTGTACGACCATATAGTTCTATCACAATTAATCAAAAGCGATTTATTCTATATATATAATTGTTACAGTTACTTAGGACTATTCCTTTTTGAATTGGTACACAACTGGGCAATATGAAAATAAAAGAATTTTTCAAAATATTATGGAACTTCAGGTCAACATTACTGCTGATTCTCCTTCCCATTGTTATGTTACCAATTCCGATTGTACTTGATTCAACGGTAAGAGTTTTTTTTCTGTGTTCCCATAATTTCTTCAGACCTTCTTCGCCTGGCTAAGAACTATGTAAAATATGTACTGCATATTGTGGGCGTGGCTTTACAATTACTGTTGAGATCGAATCGAGATATGTACTTTTCTCACGTGTGTTGAAAAATGAACAGATGAAGTACAAGGCAGACTGCGTTAATTCAGAATTATTGATAGTATACGGACAAGTTAACGAACCTACTGACTTCTTTTTATCATTATTAACATTTCAGGAAGCAGCATGTGGATACTGCATTATTATTATGGCTGCTTACTGGATATCTGAAGTGTTACCTTTGGCCGTAACATCTTTTCTTCCTCTCATCATGTTTCCACTCATGGGAATTATGCCCGCAAGCGCGGTGAGCGTCGTCTACTTAAAAGACACGAACTGGCTGTTTGTTGGAGGCCTAATGATTGCTGTGGCTGTTGAACATACCTGCCTGCACAAACGAATTGCACTGCGAGTGCTGTTGGCCGTCGGAAGCAAGCCAGAAAGGTGAGTTAACTTTTTCTTATTTACCATAATCATCAGACTCTTAATTTTCCTGTCTGGCACTTCCACATTTGCATCGTCTACTCTCTTTATATAATATTTCGCAATCTCCAAACCGCTCTCTGCTTTTTAACTCATGGTAAAAGTATATACTAATTTCAGTCTTATGATCGGATTCATGATTCCTACGTATTTTCTGTCTATGTGGATTTCAAACACTGCAACCACAGCGATGATGATTCCGATAGTCAATGCTGTGTTGGGTGAGTTGGTTCGAGGTCCAAGCGAATACCAAAATGACCAGGTGATTTTAATCAATTTTTTCATAATATGGAAACAGCAGATTTGTATTCACGAACCGCTTTCATGATATCTGTACCTGCATACTTTTGCACCCACAGATTTTAGCAACCGTATATATATAGATTGCACCCCGAATGTCCAAGAGTGCAAATTCCATTGATGCAAGTGTCTGTGGGTTCAAGGAAAGACATCGGTCATTGATATTGCTTTGATTCATTGCAGCCCTGTTACCTTCAAAACAAAGTGAATAGGATGCCTTATGTTATGTGAACATGTTTTTATTCTTATTAATTTAAGTTAACATGAAGTGTTTTAATATATAGTAAATATGCTAATGAACGAAGTAGGAAATTATTGAAACTAAAGACTTCAAACTACGTGAATAATTTTTATTATAATATCAACCTGATCTGGCGCAATTGGTAACGTCAGCTCAAAATAATATTTTCAATTAACTCATTTCAGCAAATTATTTCGTCAATTTGGGCATCGCTCGTAAAACGCTCAAGTTTGAACTAGATTCATTAAAAATAAGTTTCTCTGTTCCCAACTATCAAACACAATCCTCGCCTAATCGGATATCGTGCTGAAATGGCCATGTTTAACAATACAATTCAACTGCCTTTTATAATTGAAGCAATGAGCTATGTCACACCCGCCGTGTATGACATTCCAAGCGGTATTTCTATTACTGCCAGTTCATCGAGCAGGAAAATTTGAACGAGTTGATTGTGTAATTTAAATCGAAGTTTGAGAAAACAGCTGTGAACACTGTGCCGTTAAAGACGGTCGTCAATCTTATTTGCTTCCTGGGAGCCCATTTATGAATTTTAAATAGGGTTTGAAGAATGTGTGTGCTCATAGGCAATCAAATATATCAATCAATGGGCAATCAAAGATATCATAAATTCGAAAATCACATTTAAATATTTATGCATTACTTCTAATAGGAGTTGGAGGATGGGCCCGAACAACCGGACTTGGAAAAGACAACTGGATTTACTACAACAAATATTGATGTCAAAAGTCAAAATACAGAATCAAATACAGATGGAGTGAAATCTTACCAAAACTCAACATTCAAAAGCGACGAATCAGATATTGATTCAGTAAATGACGCTACAAAAGCTGAAGAAACTGAAACTGCCTCAAAGGTCTCCCTTTCTATAGACATCGGCATCGCTACCTGCTGTTTATCAGCGTGACGTTCGTGGCTTAAACAATGCGTTTTCGTGTTGATAGACAAATTGGTAAAAATCATTGAAAGGTATACAAACTTAAAAAAGATCGTATTATATCTTATTAAAATAAGTATTACCAGTCCGATGTATTATCACAGTAACAGCCAAATATTTATTTGTAAGAAAGGTAAGAATTTATTACGCACTATTTGAAATAGGAAAAAGAAAGCGGCTAATCAATGATTTTGGCTCATTTTATTGCCGCCCCTATTTTTACATTTCATTAAGCATTTTTTTAAAGCAAATTCACGCGCACTCACATAGAAATATAGCAGATTGAGCTCCAAGTTACGGACAACAATTAAACTGTCAGAAGCTACTGAGACTATAAATCATTATAGCATAGAACTACACGTAGGTAAATAAAGATTAACACGACATTCAAACCCAACGTAAAAAACAAACATATTTTAATCGAGATGTCAACTTGAAAAATGGTCAACATTGAACTGATAAATGATCAAGATCTCAGACTGAATACCAATAGTTAACAGTAAGAAATGGATGAGGCAATTTAGTCTTTGTTGTTTCTGATCGAGTTGTCGCGTGACTTCAAAATGCTCATTGTCGAATTTGAAGAAAAATGAAACGCATTATATTTGTTCGAGATCCTCATTTTTGTACTTGTCATTACCAATCAAATGAATACGCTAAAACAGGAAAAACAGATGAATTATAATGAAATACCAGTAATTTTGAAGTAATGTGTTCAAATTGTAAAATCTCATTATTAATACTCAGGAGAATGATGTTGCAGTGGTACAACCGGAACCCAAACATGATAGCGGTAAATTGGAAAAAGGATTAACATTATGTGTTCCGTACGCTGCAAGTATCGGTGGAATAACTACCCTAACTGGAACGGGACCGAACCTTGTGCTTGCTGGACAATATCCCATGTCGGTTTATCATATATTTTTAGTAAATTTGCATATTAAGTAAATCAATATTTTATTTTGGTATGGCAATATGAAAAAAACTTTGTCAATTTTCATGAAAGTTTCAAGTTTTCTATCAAGATGTTAAAATAGTGGAACATGCGCGAGTGAACCAAATTGTTACTTTGGTGAAAAAAATGACTATATCTAATATTAAAAAAAACAGTATTATCATCTTTAAGGGAAAAAAAACATTACGATACAACTCACAAGAAGTGATGAAAGTTAAGGCATCTAGACACTGCAAATATGAGTTTACAAAAATGAGCGATTCTTGATATTGAAATCTTACACCAAGTCAAATTATTTCATCTTCAAATATTTTATATAATGTTTATCCGAAAATTTGTTGTACGGATTCCTATTTTTTCACTAATCACTAATATAATATTTTTAGACTCTTTCCGGACGCTGAACCACCTATAACATTCAGTAATTGGATGGCATATCATCTACCTCTTTCATTGTCGCTCCTTCTACTTTCCTATATTTGGTTGATGTGGTTGTTTTTAGACCTCAGGTAAGTTGAATATTTTGACTGATATATCAAAATGTATAGATTACAGAATTCCCAATACAAAATTTTATCTTGATTACTTAATTTAGATGTATTGCTGTACGATAGTTCTTTTTTTTACATAGCAAAAATGAAAAGTTGGTTTAAGGGTTCATTGACCAACCGCATCAAAAACGTTTTGTCAACATGGAAACGCAAACTCGAGTCAAACAAAACAATAATATGACGAACTACTTGGATTTTAGAGAAATTCGATTTTCGAAAAGTAAAATTCAAATTCAAAGAGTGAGGTTTATACAGTCACGGCAATTTTTAAAGTCTTCTTGCAATTACATTGCGAGCCTACTACATCATCGTACATTATCGTTTTTTCGTTTGCTACCATAACAACAGTTGAGAAAACACAAAATAATTATGTTGTCAAAACTACTTGACAGTATTAGGAGTATTCGGACATGGTGTGGACGTGGAAATAAGACGGAGAGAGACAGAAGAGTGAATGAATTATTAGTGAGGGAATATGCAAAGTTGGGTGATATAAGGTTACATTTCCTTGATATTGTTTGTGAAACTTATATGTAATTTTTAACATTTAGTCCGAAATTTGTGAATAAAAAAGAAAAATAGAAAACGTACAAGCTATTTCTAACCTTTTGACTTTGTCTCAGTTCGCACAGAAGCTTGGTGTGATTTACTTGGTGAACAACAAGATTGAGGCGCACAATGAAAAGTTTGAAATAAATGGAAAACTGAAAGACCTTGATCTACGAAGATTTGTTTATAGACTTGTTAGGACTACGAGAATATCTTCGCCACAATTACCAATATCATCCTCACAGCCCATACGCCTGTCTTGTGTTAAAGGCACGATGACTACAACCTATATTTAATCCCATTATATCGTGTCTAATTCCTGAAACTGAATTTTATTTTTTTTATTTATCGATCGTTCAAGTTCATAGCAAATCCAATTCAGCTTCATTTAATTTATGGTTTGTTTTCCAGGTGGGCAGAAGTCACAGTTTTGATTGTTTTCACCACGACTGCATTACTATGGTTCTTCAGAGACCCAGGTTTTATACCTGGTTGGTCTGTATTGTTTAAAGATGGTTACGTTAGCGATGGAACTGTAGCCATGACCATGGCATGTCTTCTATTTTTCTTACCCTCCAACCGGCCAACGTTTTTGGGAAAAAGACCCGAAAAAATTAGTGAGTGTTCAGCGTTATAACGATTATATAAAAGTTTGATGACTTCGTATGCATTGAAATATGACAGAAACAGATTTTGAGTGTGTTGTTTTCAAAATCAAGTTGAAAATTTACATCTTACATACATTTTAGTGATGATAAATCTTCTGTAGGGTATAGCTATATACTGTTAACTTATAGAATAGACAATGTTTAAAAGTAGAAACAGTGTACGAAAGTAGAAAACCGAGTATAAGCTCAAAAACATTAATGGAATGGATCAGCCAGTCCATTGTTCAACTGGGATGCTCTTCGATCAAATGGGAATAATTTTTTGCTTGTACTCGAGTTGGTCACATTTAGTAATTTTGGAAATAACAATAATTGCCAGTTAACGTAAAAATGAAACTGACACGATAAAAAGAAAGTTAGCTCCTATACTAATGAGAAATTTCTATTTGAATATAGACGACATAAAGCCTGTACCTCCTGTGTTGGATTGGCCTACAGTGCATCGCATGTTCCCCTGGAATGTTGTCTTTTTGCTCGGTGGAGGATTTGCACTTGCAGAAGGAGCTACTGTAAGAACTTTGCCGTATAGATAACAAATACTTTGAGCCTACTCGTATATATAACAATATTGCACGTGATAATTTTACTAGCAACGTATTATCAAATAACGCACATCTTGGATAACACTGTTGTCGGCAATATGCATCTGACACTATTTTCTACTTCATTGAATACCACAAATACAATTCTTTCCATGGCGCTATCGTTTTAGCAAGCACATATCCGCATATACATATTTTAAACAGTTTTCCCTATAAAATGAAGACTAACGAATTTGAGAGATCCGAACAATTTCATTAATTGGTAATAAAAATTTTCAATTCAAACTTGACACGTGCCGTGCACATTGATAAAAAAAGGTTCAATTTCATCAAAAAAAAAAAAATTAAAACAGCCTTGTCACACACATACTCATAGAATCGGAATAATAACAAAGCATAAAATTGCTACACTTCGTAGGTTTCTGGATTTTCAGACTGGCTGGGAGAACAATTAATATTCCTGAATGGCTTACCGAATTGGGTTATATGTCTGATAGTGACTGTGATAACATGTCTATTTACTGAATGTACCAGCAACGTTGCAACTGCTTCACTGTTCGTTCCTATCATAGCGGAATTGGTAAGTTTTACTTAGAAAGCCTAATCCGGTAAACATAATATATATTAGAGATTGAATATTCGTCTATATCTAGTATATTCAGCTTTGTAGTACGATTCAGGTCAAGTTAAGTTTATGTTTTTAAACCATTAAAAACAATCATATATATACAATATATATTCAAAACGAGATTTTCCTAGAGATAGATAATTTTTAGAGATTCTACTAAAGAGCCATCAGACAGGGGTATTCTTCACTCCAATTGGGATTACTGAAAGCAAAATTGCTTCAGTCCGATTGATAAATACTTTAAAATTATATATAATACCACTGTAACGTGCTATATTTTCAGGCACAAGGAGCACAAATTCATCCCCTCTATCTTTTATTACCTACCGTGGTATCAACGTCACTTGCATTTATGCTGCCGGTTGCGACACCACCAAACGCTATCGCGTTTTCATACGGTCACTTGAAAGTGGTTGATCTGGTAAGATATGATTTTACATGCTGACGTTATTAAGGAAAAACATTTAAATGTTGGTTTTTCAAAACAAAACTTGTGGAGTTTCGAATTTAATTCATTTTCTAGATTTGAATTTTCTGATATATATATATACTAGAACATTTATTTCTCGTTTAGGTGAAGGCTGGATGGATGCTAAATTTACTCGGAATTCTAATATTAATGGTATTCATAAACACATACGGCGTAGCTTTCTATGGTCTCGATGAATTTCCTTACTGGGCTTCAGAAAACTATACTGGTCCTACAGACCCTCCTACAACAATGATGCCTCTTATATAAATGTTACATAATCAAGTATTTTTTGAAGGTTTCATATAATTTTATAAAATAACAAAACAAAAAAATAGTGGTCATATGAGCTATTTAACACACAAAAAAAACTCTACTGAAAGTAATTTACTCATAGACACATTTTAAAAACAATTAGTTTAAACATATCGTATTTCAAAATACACTCATTGTTTATAAGGCTGTTGTCCGTTTTTGAGGTGATGTTTCTCCTCTACTGGATTCAAATTCATAATTCAATTCACAAACACTTTGCTCAAATAATTGTCTCATTTAAATTTATTATCACAAAATTAGCTGTGATTGAATATGGGCTCGCGAAGTAGAACATATTTTGGACACAAAACCAGTCTAATCAATATTGCCTGTATTCTGAAAAGGAAATATGTCCCATGTTAGGGCACTATGAACTCATTTAAAAAAGGCTATGTGCTTTATAAAAAACGATCTACTTTTTGAACGCTATAATCGCTCGTTTCGAATAAGTAAAGACAATTCTCCAACTTGATGCCAACCCTAAAATGCCTGAACAAACATCAAGTCGGGTGCAGACTATAATTGGTTCAATACACCAAACCATTTTATCGCAGTTGACAATACAAAGTTTTTTTATTACAAATCCTTCAAAATGCAAACAGGTGTTATTATTTACCTCTTCTATGATAGATTTACACTCCGGCGAGTAATTAGTTACGATTGATTATTATCGTTTTGTGGAGACCCAAAGCTTTATACAGTTACTGTTTTTAATCTTACAGGTTGTATTCAGTTTATATTTGCAATATATTGCGCCAATACAATTCAAAGTAACAAAAAAAGCTCTTTCCGTTTAGTAAATTGAAGTGGGCAGGTGGATAGACTACGACACGGAATTTGCAATCTAGGTACTATATTTGTTATACAAAATCACGAAAATTAAAATTCCTCAACTTGTAAATTTGCAAGTAAGCTAACATTTTCTCAAAGCTGAAAATATCGTAATATCCTAGATTCCGTGCCGGCGATGTAAGCATGCTGATATGGGACTATCGTGTTGCAAAACTATATGTAAACGAGAATACCTACGACGGTGCTCGACAGTGATTTACTGTGTACTTCCTTGCTATAAGAAAACAATTGCTCCAGTATATAACATAATGCAGTCAGTTATTTTAATTTACACCCATCTTCACACAGCAAAAAAACAAACTCTGATAACGTTATATTAGGCTGTGAGGCTGAAACGATTTTGTTTTGCATATCAGGATAATTTACGCTCCCGTTTAATTAATCAACTGCGGTTTCGTGTAACTGGAATTTAATTTTTGAAAGAGATGAAGTGTATCTGCAGAGAATGGCTCTGGTATCTGCATTCGACCACAAATTTGACTTATATATATAGAAATATTGTCGTTAGGTAAAACCATATCCATCAACATTGACATTAATTGTAATACAAGTAAATTCACAGATATTTTTACAGTGCCATACTTTTGGGCAAATATTTGGCTTGTGATTATTCCTAGACGCTCGTCAACAGAACAATGCATATGCTGCCTAAGCGAAAACAAATGTAATCAAATGGGACGGAAGTTCGGAAAGTGTTAAATCATTTACGTTTAGGATCTTTTGTACACTGCCACTAATGCAAAAATGTGAGATTTGAGAAAAAGACCCCGCAACGTTTTAAAATAAAAAACTTGTAAATATTCAGTAGGGGTTGAGGTTAGGAATGATTTCAAATTTTGATTTTCAGCGCAATCTGCATTTTTCACGCACTTTGAGCATTGGCAGTTTTTTTTGTCTTAGAGGGGGGGGGGGTAATCATATTTCATCCTACGACGTTAAACTCAATAAAAGTTTCCCCAAAGTAAACGGCATTAAACGCTTGGGTAAATATTTGACTTGTGCATATAACCTTAGACGCACATAAACAGAACAAGAGAGCTACGCCCAAATATATGGACACGTCTGTTCGCAGTACAGTACGGTTTACCGTACCGTCAGATCACAGTCTACAAATATATTCACACCAAGCGAAGCAGTACAGTAGGACTTCCAACTTTTGCTAAGGCGGTCACGTCCCCGCAGAAAAGAAAACCAACATTATTGCAATACTGTACGGTACAGTACCGGTACCGTGGTAAGACAGCGTAAGGAAAAAATCGTAGCAAAGTACCGTTCGTTACGAACCATCGATGGCACGTGATCAATAAGAAGAGGAGTGTCGGCTATGCGTCCGTAGAACGTTTGGTGACGTCATAGCAAACAAAAACAAATCTCACAGAGCTAACAGAAATATTTGAAATAAATAAAAGTAAAAGCCTTCTGGAGAAAAATTTCATCTTTAACCAGTAAAAATTTCGAAGCAATCGGTCCAGTAATGAAAGAGAAAAGCGTTTTTTTAGATTTTCCACTAGATGTCCGAAACGTGTCAAAGAACAACAACAACAAGACCAACATAATATTGAATTGATCGTTATGTCCACTACGTGCCCAACAATGCAAATGCAGTGACTCGGAACACTTCAATGAAAATTGGATATCTCCACCGTGCAAGCGCTCCACTTGTACAAGTCAATGATACATCCTTGCGAGGAGAATTGCTGTCATATTTGGGTTGGCGCTCCTGTGACTTTCCTATAACGAATTAAAAAAGTCACATATTGTCTTCTTTTTTATCGTCAAAATGTTGCGTTGCTGTGCTTATTTCACCGGTATGGACTGTGTTTACCACCAAAGGAGGTTTTCATTCGTCAACCTCGGCCGTCTCATCGGCTATCCCCTCCCTGGGGATTATTTGTAAACTCTATGCAGCCCGTGACGCATCTTTTGTTGTTACATTTACATTTTGACAGATAAACTGACATTCCTGTGAATACACCATGGTCGCAAAAATGACACCATCAAAAACTCTATGCAGTTCCTAAATGGGCCAAGTGCATTTGGTGGAAAATTCCAGTACATCTCAATATATAATTGGCAAGACCGTTATTCGAGTCCACAAGTGTAATCAGAAATTCTTTCTGTCCAGAAACAACAAATTTACCCATCATTTCGTTTATTAGAAAAAATCATTCATTAGTACAAATAAGAGTCGATGATGCCATACACTCGATTTTCAACACGGTAAATAAAAATGTATTGTAGATTAAAATTCTGAATACTAATAAAATACAGTAAGAAAAAACAAATTATATCATTAAATCTAAAACTCTCAACCAATTATTGGAAATCATCCGCTAAGAAATAAAACCAAAGATTTATGACATGTTTTTATAACCTAATTCAGCCACTATACAACTCGGTGTCATACCTTGAAAAGTAACTGATGTATAAGGGTCTGATGCTGCATTACTAGATATACAAATCTTTACCGAAAACGAAGAATTTTAGGAAAAATAGTATACGTTTTTGCACTGCAAAACTATTTGAAATAACTCCAGGAGGTTAAGCCAAATCACAAAACACATCTTTGTAAGCATGTTATGGAACAATACAACCAAGTTGAATATGAGCAGACATACTTCTGATGTAGTCTTTAAAATACAATCAAAGATTCCAGTAGAAGGATATGAAAATATTTGAAGCAGAAAAGGTTTGAAAAATCATGATTTTCAATAAAGAATATGAATCAACTAAATTCAATTTGATAATATATGGAAGTGATTCAATGGGCGTATACTAAACATGGTGCTTCATTGTTACAAAGACCATAATGCTATGTATACCGTGAAATGGCAGTCAAAAAATCTATCAGTAACCTGTAAATGTGCAAGATAATCAAAAATCTCTTTGCAGTAAAACACTAAATAACAAAAACATCTTGTGAGTCAAAACCTATTACTTTGACAACGATTAACAATGAACTTTTAAAAGATATATCTTTGTGGAAATCTTGATTGTGAGTAACAAAATTTGAATGAATGGATGAACACATGTATCATGGTAACAAAATATGCTACCGACACCTTTTTCCATAGAATGTACCTTGGACGCACAAAATAAGAGGAAAAATTCTTCACATTCCCTGTCTAAAAGTTTGAAGATCATAATTACATAAAAAAAAATTTCAACTCGTTTTAACATCCAAAATATGATGTTTATTACCCCCATTTGGTATTCTAGTAATAAATATTAAGGCTAACCAATTTAGTATGCCAGAACCCTTACCATAGAAATAGGAAAACTCTCATTTCAATAGGAAAAAAAGTTTTATCCAAATGTGCATCAAATACACCGTCAGTGCTTCAAGTTTTATATCCAGGTAACTAATTAAGATCAATAACTTGTATTTATAAGACTTACTGGCAGCTTTAAAATATTGGTATAAATTTGTATACATGAAATATATTTTTAGAATGAAAATTCTTAGTTACAACGTAATAGTTGCTTATATTATCCTTTACAATTTTTTGCATCTGGATAACTATTTAGAATCAATAGATTTATCAGGCATTGCAAGAAATGGAGGGGTGAATATGAATTTTATGAAAAATTTACGGTAATTAAACACTGTATAACTAACTAATAACTTGGTACCTAGTTATATGAATCTATGGTCAAAGTTAGTTTTCCAAATCGCGCCATTTCATGAATCCACATTTTAAAAGAATTTCAATTTACAGGAATATACAGAAAGTGCGATGCAACCACAATATAAATGCACTATGTTTTCTTAGTCTATAATTGCAAAATTATAATTCAAAGAATTGATATGAAACCACCAATATCTTCTTATCCATACATAAGCTTCAAAGGAATCAGGTCAAGAAAGCACACAAGCAAAAAAAATCAGCAGAATGAAATAATAGAGATTTTGTTCAGCATCAGCTTACAAATACAATAACATTCTCACAATATTAGTTAATTATCGCTTGTGACAAATTACTAGTAACTCTCAAATAAACCACATCAGAAATGCAGTAACAGTATGATTATTACACCTTGGTAAAAATACATAAAATTTGTACTTAAGCCTCAATCTACTGCATGTTAATATAAAATCTGAAACAAGAACCATTTTAGTTAAAAAACCATGAAAGTATGATAGAAAAAGAATTAATGAACACTTTTCTCTTTAATTCATAGAGTACTTCCTATTCAGTTATAGCAAATTTCAACATATACATCAGAGCGCAGGTTAAAAAAAAAGAAAAGGATAACATGTCAATAAGAGCCAAAAAACAGATGCAAAGTGAAATACATTTGGTAACAAAACAAGAGACATAAAAAATTTATTATACAGCACTCAAGATTACGATTTTATTTCCTCTTGTCAGATATCACATTGTAGTAACATTTTCTCCATGCCAAGGATGGAACAATTTATATGATATTTATGATTACTATAACTTAAAAGATGTATGAATATTCATGTATTACACAACTGAATTCTTAGATTTTTGGTATTCGGACGTTTAAACATAGAGGTACATAATGTTAGCTGATAGTCAGTAAGAAATGTTACATAATAGAATCTGTTGCATAAAAAAAACTTGATTTTATTTTTATAAAATTTAACAACTGATTTAAAGTATTAAAATTATATTGTAACAACAGAATTATAGAAACTGAAGATATTAGGAGAATTACTGTACGTACATTTCCGTCCAGCTGTTTGACTTTTATTTAAAACTAAAACATAGTTAGTGCCATCAGCAACAATTAGAAAAGGAACAAAATAAAAGCAACATTGTTGTATGTTGAAAATGTTGTACAGAACAAATACCTCATAATATATAAAACATTATATAGTTAATATAGACAGCTTCGCATTTGCGTTTTATGTATCATTGCCTTTATCTTCAAGTAAAGCAGAACTGTCAGACACACTTTCTTTAAGCATCATATATTCTGGATTATCTAGTCCGACAGTATTAGGTGACATGTTCTTATTTGAACGTTTAACACTTTGTCGTGGTTTCGGGACAGGTTTATATCGCACTGCTGACTGATCAATGTCTATTGGTTGTTCGTCGCCACTTTGTATTTTATGTAAAGGTGACGAACTTATTAGAGGTCCGAGACTTCCGTTACTGCTACCTGCAGATGATAAAGATGAGTTTTGTCGATTTCTTGATGGATTGTTATATGTAGTACCATGCGAACGACTGTGCATTCCGTTTGAAGCAGAAAGTATGGATTGGTTATCTTCACCTATACCGCTATCCGTTGTCATATATTCTTCATTATTAAAACAAGTGCCTTCCTCATTTTTTTTCGGAACTGAAAAGAGGTGAATTTGTTACGACAGGAATATTTCTAAATTAAATTATGCGAAAAAAATCTTCAAATTCTGGTCACTAGCTCTCTGTTATTTTAAGTGGAATATACTCGGATAACTAAATTCCAAAAATATATAGTAAATATTGCAGCACAAGACCAGCAGGATAATATATATTTATATAGATGGCTTTGTAATGACTTATAATTACTGATATTTGAAATCGATTTGCCAATTAGACGCAGGGAAAGCAACTCTTTCGAAACAACAACCCAACAAGAACAACAATTTTACTGAACGATTCATAAGTCTATTTATATCTAATAAAAGTGATTATCTAATAAACAAATCTTATACAATCTCGGAGCTATGAATAGAAAATAAATGTCATTCATTGTCCTAATGCATAATGCAAACGCGTGTTTGCGGATAAAGAATTCAAAAAAATTTTGATTTGTGATAGGTGTGCCGCAACTTTTTCATTTCATTGTCAGTGTGCCACAACCTGAAAAAGTTTGGGAACCACTGCTGTAATGTTATCCATGTGTAGACATTCTATGTTGTGACTGTAATATATCATTTGCTCATTACCAATTGTGCATTGCTAACCTAATATGAATAAGTCTGGAAGCAAGAGCCCACTATACCTGTGAATGTGTTGGGATTTTTCTGTGAATCTCTGTTGAAACTATTTTCTCTGTTGACCACACCAGCCATCATAACATCAGTCTTATTGCCATCCCAGTTCAAATATTCATGATCAGACATGGTGTTAACATATTCTGGTTGTTCATCAACAAGTTGTGGCATCTGATTTGATGCCACTGGCCACCCAGAGGCACCGTCTGTCATTAATGGCATCGCCTCACCACTTTCCAGGTATGTGTTGTTAGATAATGAAGCCGGTGCATATTTTGGCTTTGTATGGACCTTTGGAACTGTTTCTTCAATATTTGACTTTTGTGGACGAGGCTTCGATGGATCAAAGTAATCTGAGTAATGAGAATATATTTTTACTAAAATGTGACTAAATTTTGTTTAACAAATAATAAAAAATCAATTTCATTGAAATATTTTATCAAACTTACCCAATCAGCAAATAGTTCTAAACTATAAAACCCGAGCTGTCTCATGCAAGAGTAATCCTACAACTTTCATGGAAATGGTCAAAAAGCATATACACAGATGTAGGCGCTCCAGAAGTATGTGTACCAAAATGGAGGTAACTAATTTTGTTCGCCTATTTTACATCAAGTAGTGTAATCGAACTGAAACCTAAGGGCATGGTATATTCACATGGCTAACACAGACAGTCCCCGAACTTGTAATAGAACTAAAATAAGGAAAATTGGAATGAAATTATGGCTTAACCTGGTACACATACTATGGGAGTACCCAGATGTATATTGAGAGCAGGGACAAAGCATTTGTATTCGGGTGAAAAGAAAAATCAAACTGGTATTAATATTTAATCATATGTATCTGGTGAATCAGGTATGTTTATCACACACAGTTTTATGGGGAATGCAACAGAAACAAAAAAATTATGAAATGTCTTCAACCCTAAATAGGCACTCCCATGGCTAAAAATAGGTGTCTACTGTCTCTGATTCATTATTTCCAACTTTTATACATAGAACTCAAAAAATTCAATTTTTGTGTTGCCCCATTTGTGTCAACTCCATTTTACATAATATGCGTCCTTCAAAAAATGGGTTCATTTTGAGCCTTAGTGAATTGCAGCAAATTAATTCGTTAATTCAGTTACTCAAATGTTTGCTACCACCTAACCACATGATACCACCTTTGCTAATGATAGAACATTAGCACTTTATGCATATATCTTTTTCAACAACAACCTAACCTAATATATCAAATGAGAGAGGAAAGTTCTCATTTACCTGAAATGAACAATATACGGACTTAATTTACAGATAAGAAGTGAAAATCATAAAATGAGACAGAACCCCAAACATAAATCCATGCAGTGCAGTATTTACAATTGCTCAAACTAATAACCTACAAGAAATGATAGCATTCCAAAAACAATAATTTGTGCGAAGATGTAACTTACAAATCACCTTAAAACAAAAGATCAAAAAAATAAATTGAAACAAAACCCCTGTTTAAATTAAAAAAGGCAATATTTTGGTGGTGTAAATATGTAACATTTCGAATATCATATATCTTGATTAAGTTTTTGTTTTATTTAGGATAAAAAAGTTATGAATATAACGAATGTTATTTATTATGCCGTTAAAACCAACCAATAACTGAATTGCACATACGTGTAATTTGGGACCGAATCTACTTATCACTGCAATGAGCAATAAATTGTTTCTAATAAAATTGACGGAGCCTATTTGTCGTGTTTATATCATATCAGAGACTGATAGAGATTTATAAACAGTTCTGATCCTACCAGTAGTTGATGATTTGTCTGGTCGTGGTGTCGGTAACAGATATTCATCCTCATCATACAACATTTTGTCATTGTGATCAAAATCTGATGCCGTAAGAACTTCATGATCAATAGTTGACGGTGACGATGCTGGGTCGATGTATGCTGCATTCGCAGAGATGAAAAATAGAATGCAAAACAAGGAAAATATAACAACATGCAACATTCAGACATGCTATTCAGATTCTCACAAAATCAATAATTCAAAATAAAGAAAAATAATCACAATAGATTCAGTATTTCAAATCTTTGCAAGGAAAAGTGTATGGCTCATGGACAATCATAAGGCTAGTTTCTGGTCAAATTTATTGGAGTAGCAATTGCTTGAGAATGATTCCCAGACAGATATGGACTTCCAGACAAAGTAATTCGAACACTGGACAAATTGCTATTTGGCAATTACATCTTTGTTACGCCTCAAATTTTTAAATGTCAGACTCAGGACTTAGGAAACATCAAAATGAAGAGTGCAAGAGTAAACATGTTGTGATATCTTCATGACTGAACTAACGAGTTTACGCCAGAGAAAATGAGATAAAAATGAAAGTGTTGACATTGTGGGTTGACAAATTATTGTGCTGCCATGGATAAATGATTTATAATGATGTTCAAGTTCATAAAACTTGAAGGGAATAGTTTGAAAAACGAAAATAAAAACTTTTGCAATTCATGCTATTGCAATCACCCATACATCAGCTATAATAAAATATTCAAAATTTTTTCTTTTAAAAATTTTATTTAATCCAAGTTTATTCCAACCAAATCAAAAATATGATTCGACTGAATATTCTATTTTTCCCCAGGTAAAAAAGCATGCTATCTAATACCTAATACCTATGCAAAGTCTTTAATAATGGCATTTTTGTACAATACTCAAATCCTAATTTCATAAAACACCTAATCAGTATTGAATTGCAAATTTTAATTTGTTTTCAAACCACCATCACAACATCATTGACTTAAACTCGGTTCTTTCTATACAGATAATCATCACAATAAAATTTGTCACTTTAATTTCAATCTTAAAAGAAAATGTTATGTGAAATAATTGAAACTTACAACTTCTCGCATGTGTTGTAGGATCTTCTGTATATCTTGGATTTTCTTCGGAATCCTTTCTACCACCAGATGAAGTTGACCAGGCTTGATCAGCTAAAAATCAAATATTTAAGTACACGATACGTCACACAAGTTTAGATCAAATATCAACAAACAAAATTTTAACAAATAACTAATACAACGCACAAGCTTTTAAAAGAGATTCACGCAATAGTAAGTTATTCGCCAGTAATATTAGAATATAATATTGTACAATAATGTAACATGCGCATAAGTTCACAATATACGTGATACAAAATTCTCTGGATATTGATCGTGATCTCCATAATATTTTCACTTATTGACGAAATCAGACTTATGTTGATTTTAAAAAAATTGAATCCAAAAATTGTGTGACTAAATGATATATTATAACAGCGCACATCGTTAGATGCAAGGGACATTTTTTGCCTGGTTACTCGCAATATTTGTGCCTGTGATGTAATGATACAATGTCATGAACCAATTAAATTTTTTTTTTGGACTTAATAGTGAGAGGTTTTTATAACCAGCACATACTGTATCAATGTTTTTTTGTTTTGTTGGGGCTTTATTGGCTCCAAATTGGCAAATTGCTGTGTTAGCATTAAATAAGGGAACATATATCAAACATTTTTCAATGAAATAAAATGAATAAACATGAATTTTGCTTGGAACAAATTTTTTGCAAAGGACCCATAAAGTGTATACTCGATTGCAGTCTAACAGAAAGGACTAGAATACTTCAAACATACAGAAACCAACCATAGCCAACCACTGATCCTTCTCATCAAAACATCTTAAAAATACCGATAAAATTAACTGAATTTCATTGCAATCACCTGCACGACGACTTGATCCAAATCGTACAGGATGAGATTCCGCTCCTTTCTCGAGTAGTGGCATATCTACGATCATGGACTTCGAAGGCATAGATGAATTACGAAGACTGTGACCTGACATAGCAAAAACATCGTCTGGGTTGCTAGAATCAGACACTCGGGGTAGAACACGTCCCATTTCAGTATGATTGTTTGGAATTTGTGAATTCGCTGGAGGTGTAGGAAGTTGTGCAGATGGTGTGTTACGAGAAAATAATCGAGTTCCACGTGAAGAACCACCTGAAATATAGAATGGATGATAATCTGCAAACTTCCATCATCAGATAAACTAATCAGCACATATTACAGCATGATCACATTGTATCATCAATCTCCCCTCATTAAATACAAACATGGTTAGTCATGGTTATACATGGCCATAAGTAATTTAGAGTTCTGCAGCACACTGCCACAAATGTATTTACGTAAGTAATGTAATGAAATACAGGTTGTTCATTATGTTCCGTAACAATTTCAATTCTGTTATTTCAGTTGTTTCTCAATATATCTCAACTAGGTTTGTAGAGGCCAACCAACTATGTAGTATCAATGGATTCTCTCAACAATTTATAAAATTTAAAGACCTTAAAACGTTAATATTGTTGGTAACAAAAAATAAATCGACTTGGCCACTCTTGTAAGATCCAAGGAATTTTTTCAGACATTGGACATTCACTCACATGCTCCCATACTTGTTGAAGCACCACCGTTCACTGATGGTATTCCTTGCTCTCTGTCTATAGTAGCTTGATTTTGATATTCAGGCTGAAAAATGAGTGAAAACTTGAATTGTGTTGATACTATGGAATATTTCAATGCCCTTCTATGTATAGATAATAATGAACTTGAAACCTGAAATGAAACGCCATAATTATCAATTATCATGTTAATCGCAGAACTGAATTTTAAGATTTCGAAAACATTTCGGTGCAGCAATGGAGATCTCGGTTGTGAAAAGTCAAAATTATCATTATCATCATTATCATCTTATGTACATGTTATGTTGTTAATAATTTGAGGAAAATCACTCTCTAAAAAATTTTGGAGTTTCAATAAGTTTATTTTTGACCTAATACAGGGTGACCAAAAAAAAAGAAACCAGGTCTTTTGTAACATATTCTAGAGAGAATATATAATTTTTGCGAAAAGCGTCCCAGATCAACGAAACTTGGTACATTCAAGTGCAAATGTTAAATAAATTTTCTTCGCTTTCGTAGGAACAAGTAACAAAATTTTTATTTTTAGGTCACCCCTGTATTTCAATATTTCAATTGATTTTGAAATTACTGACAATTATTAAAATATAAAAAAATAGTCTCATAAAATATAAAAGTAGTCCAAATTATTTTTGTTGTTTCATTCTAATCTATCCATATAGCTAAAAACTATAGTTACATCAAAGTTAACTAAACTAATATCTTCTAATGCCTCTACAAGCTCATGCAAATTAGAATAAAAAGAGAAATCCAAGACAAGTATCAGCGTGACAATAATGATGTATATAAACTTCCTAAAATCTAATATTCTAAAATATAAATCTATATATTCTCAAAATCATAAGCATAATATTTATGCCACAAGCTTTTTTATGTGAGCTAAAAGCATTGATTCAAATTATTTGTACAACATGAAAGTAGTAATCTTTATACTATATTATGTTGATAAACGCTTAAAATTAGAATAGTAGGATTGAATTTTCATATTATCCTGAAGGAGAGGAAAGCCTACAAGACACCTCATATGGCATACCACAGCCTCTCGTCCAGATACAAGTCTGTGTCGAGTATTGGATTAGTTAGCCACCTATTATTTGTTTCTGATGCATGGTCATGATGGTGGAGGAAGCCATAACCGAACAGCAGTTACATGAACCAACCTACAAGCTTTCTCGGACTCATTTTTCTTATAGAAAATTTTCTCATAATCACACACAATCGCTAGGAAATTAGATTGAGGAGATTAAGCGAAGTTACAGGCAACCACAAAATACCAGAGCTAATGAGACTATGATGAATTATAGCTTAGTATTGCATATGGCAGCAAAACTTTTTCAAGACATATAGAGCTTTTAGTAATTATGATAAAAATGCCTCAGAAAATTGTTGAACATTGCCTTCTGATCTACAAACTACAACTAGTTTATAAATTAAGTGAAATGTGTTTATATTAATTGATTAGTTAGTCATTAAAATTATTCCGATCTATGTGGACATGCATTGAGTCTAGCATATGTATTTGCAGTAATTGCGAGAATCTAATTCTGTTTCAAGCTTTATATTTGTTTCAGGCTTTAGCATACTCACAGCATCTTGTATAACACTGTATGAAATGCTTGATGTTGTAGGGGACATGGATGTGTAATGTGGGGAAAACTGTTTAAAAGTTTATATTGCATTTAGAAAAATGTATTTCACCCAAATTAAAAAAATTATTATTGAAATTTATTGACGAAATTTAACTAAAGAAAAGAGTGAAATTAATGTTTAGGTGGCTCAATGATTTGTAGAGGTAGGCGAAAAATCAAGATTAATCGTTAATCATAGAAATTGTAAAGATTTTTAATAAAACGATACCCTACCGATACGATACCAAATATGACCATTTTGTCTCGATTTTTGCAAGAATTGTTGTATGAAAGACAAATACCAGTAATTCCGTTATGTATTTATTTTAGAAGCATTAAATAAAATTTTGAATTGCTAATGACCAAAAAGTCACTAATCGCCCACCTCCTAATAGTTTGGGATTAGAACTTCAACGCTATTATGTTTCTTAATGATCACTTTAACAAGAACACTGGTGGATACTGCTCATTTATAGTGTTAATATTTAAGCACAAGTATTGAACCTTATTATTTGATTTTAAAAAATAAACTATTTCGCCTTGGAACTATCATTCCACCATTACGTGAATACATTTGGCTTATACTATTTTTGGCCAATAATATGACAAATATAAAGTGCAGCTTACAATTAGAAAAAATTAATCTAAAATAAAATATTTCTTACTTCTCCATTAAGACGATCTGACAGAAGATAAGAATCAGGTTCACCGATCATCAACTCCCCGTCTATACCAGAATTTTCTTCTTTTATAAGTTGTTCGAAAAATCTTCGCTCTTCTTCTGGATTAGGGCTGAGCATGTCTTGATGTTCATCATTCTAATTAATGAGAAAATATGAAGGATATTCAGAGACATTTGGAGATAAGTCTGACCAAACCTAATCAAATGGATTGAAAAATTTGTCAATTGAATTTTAAATGAAAGATAGGCAAATTAAAAATAAGACCCAAATGTAGGTTTAGACAAGCCCATGAGGAATGACTTTTGAACGATACAATACTATGTACACGAACAAAAAACTTGTGATATATAAATTTCGAGATAGCTTTTGTTAGGTTATTGCAGTGAGATGCTGAATTATTTAAATCAATTCTCCTTACTTATAAGCATTATTCGTGATGATGGCAAAGGCTTTACTGTTCTAAAGTCGTAGAAAGAATATAATCCATATCAATAAACTAACTTATTGGCACACTTGCTCAAAGCAAGTTTACTACAGATGACCAACAATCTTACATTGGGGACCACTAATTCGCTTTGGATAATCAAACCTGAGTTAGAATGACAACTATTCAGATATCGAATTGCAAATTTTGTTCAAATTGAAATAAATTTCCCTTTGTTGCATAATAATGTGACTGTTTCTGCAAGGTCTTGTTCGGAGCGAAAAGCATAGGAATACATTGTATTGTTTGGTATTTCCTACCCAAATGAGAAATGACTACACCATAAATGAGTTGGTGGGCATGATATTTGAGACCTGAATTGATAACCTAAAAAGCAATGCCAGCATATGCTTTTTACTAACCTTAATTACGAGGTATCTAGTATGATCATGACACATCTGTGTGTATTCATTAACAAGTTCTGAAAATCTTGGTCTACTGAGAGGATCCACCATCCAACCTGACAAAATAAATAAAAATTAAAAATAAACTACAAAAATAAACTAAGGCTAACTCACTTCCCCTAAACAAATATGTTTTCAAAGTCACACAGACTAGAAGTTTGAGCTCACAAAAGATGCAGTAAGAAATCAGGGTTGAAAAATATCAAGCTGATGCATAGTGGGAATACCACAACACAGATAAATCGGGTGTTCATAAAGTCCGGCATCAAATTCGGTACTGGAACTTTGATGTGCTTCGTGCAACTAATGGAGGTGTATTAAATGAAGAAAAATTTAAGTAAACACTTATTGAAAAAAATATGTGACAGGACTTCATGAACATCATCTACATCTGATTGACTAAACTTACTTATATTCAATGAAAGTATTCGCGTTACACAAAATATAGAATTTAGGTTTTATTGCTGTTACTATCCATGTTATTCGATTAAATGATTAAAAACCATACTTACATTTAATTAAAATCATATAAACATCTATGGTACATATAAGAGGTTGAGTTAACCTATCTCCACGCTCCAGCAAAGATAATACATCAATAGCACTGACACCCTATAATGAAATAAATATAGTAATAAAAAATGATACTTGGGAAGATAATGCTATGCTGAGATTAATTTTGATTAATTTTCATATTGCTAAACAACAGGCTAAAAGCAAAGTGACTTTGGGCCCAGTTAAAGAAGATTTAAAGAATAATGAATATTCAACATGTGCATCCACCCTATCTATGTGTAGAGCAGATCAAGAAAAAGCTTCAACACACCATATGTCCGGAATGCAAGTGGGCTCTGCATCCAGACCCACAGCTGTGAATCGAAGCTCGATACCGTCCAGATTCTTTATTTAATGGTTTAGCACAGGGGTTCTGAAACTGGGGTTCATGGACAACGAAAGAATCCATGAAATAGTTAAAGGGGTCTGTGAAATACCAACAGAAATTTTAGAAGTCGGATGAATTTGTATCAATACCAGGTACAAGATATTTAAAATATTTACGCTAAATAATAAACGTCTATTCAATATCGGTACCACACAGTCAGATAGGCTAATGCTGTAGGGACACATTGATACTAAATAAAGCACAACCGGTGTTAGCAAAACGATGTAATTAGCCAACGTTTCGAATTTCTATACAGAAAAACTTCATCAGGGCATGATATGGAAAGGACACAAGTGGATCGGCAAATTACATCTTTTTGCTAACACCGGTTGTGCTTTATTTGGTATCAACATGAGTTTACCTGGTGGCAATCATGCTGTAGGGAAACGATAAATATAAACTCTATCGTAATTTTCAGACTAAGGCCCAAAGTTTAAGAACCCCTTGGCTAGTGGAATAAAGTTCATTTCAGCCATTTCGATTGATTTATCATCAGACAAAAAGCTGCTCTTCACACAACTCAAAATTATATAACCTATATAACCTAATCACATTTATATAAGTTTGAAGATATCAACATATTCTCTCAATTCAATATCACACAAAAGGTGTTCGAGTTGTACTATCTTTATCAAATAACTAGTAAATAAATCCTCTTTGCAAAGAAAATGACCTATCGTTGAATATCAGGTAATCTAGTAAATGCAATAAAAGTAAAATAGATATCTTGAATGAATCTATCATTATAGGGTCGAATCACTGTGAAATTACTATGTAACAAATAAAAGATGAGATAAAAGTTTCTCACTCCATATGGCTTTCCTCCAAAAGTAAATATTTCCCAGCAAGTAACGCCAAATGCCCAAACATCAGACTGATGTGAAAACTTTCTCTCTGTTATGCATTCTATCGCCAACCATTTGATCGGTAACTGAACATAAAAAAGACAATTGGCCTAACCAATGAATAATGGGACATTTTATCCTAATATAAGGACAATTATAGTATACTTTGATCTATGCAGCATGTTGATCATAGTGTGTTCAAACCTCGCTAGCCAAATTAGATAGCACAGTACTTTTAATGTTCATCCTAAAAGGTGATACTGAATAATATAGCAATTTTAAATGAACCCGGGGTATGGGAGTAGTTACCCCAATGTTTCAAATGCATGGACTCCGTGGTTCAGAAAGCCATAACCGACCAGTGGTGTTCAACCACCCTACGAGGGCAAGGAATCCAGGATCAAAACCAATGCTGGATAATCAGGTGTGAAATGGCAAGGTTGTAATCCTAATGCTTAGCACAATGTGCCTTATCGCCGAGCCAGGTTGAATGTCTAAGTGACAAGGCTGAACACGGCTTTCTGTTTGAATAAACATTTATAATAATAATTAATCGCTAATTTTTAAATTAGGAAAAACTATAGCTATAACTCGGCAAACGAAACGCTTCACCACAACAAAAAAGTTTGGAAATGCTTGGCTAATAAGGGCACCTTTCCTCCTTCAGCAAAATATACTGATTGTGTCGCGTTTAACATTTTCGATAAACCAAAGTCTGTAATTTTGACATGATGTGGAGTTTTGACAAGAACATTTCGAGCAGCAAGATCCCGATGAACCATGTGCTTCTCTTCTAAGTATTGCATACCCTGCATGATAAAGATATACCGGTACATATTATTCCGTAAAATAATGTTACTCTCTATACTGAATATTATTTTTTGATGCCAGATGTAAAATTCCTACGAAATTAAAATAGCCCCTTATCCTCCATCTATGCCTTTGCACTAATGGCTCTGTATGGGGATCGGCAAGAATAAATATGACTAAAATACCTATGTGCTTTAAAAGTATTTCTGAACACTGACGAACAAGCTACTAGGCTAGGGGGATCGGAAAAATACAGTTCTCATAAATTTCTTAATTACTTCTGAGTAAATGAAGAAAATTCATTTGACACTTGAATTTCTGTTTGTGTATGCTTGTACCAAAAAGTTTCAGTGATCTAGGACGCCATGCACCAAAGTTTTATGACTTAGGTCTTGTTTTTGTCGTTTACTTTGTATGTTCAATATTAATCATGGTCAGATGAAACGTTACAGAAATTTGTATGAGCACGACAAATTTCCTTGATTCACATTGAATACAAACCTTTGCGATCTGCGTACACCATGTTAACATGTGACGAGATCCAATGTTATCCTTGTTGTCCCGTACATATTCTAATAAACTTCCGAGCGGCATTAATTGTGTAATGAGAGCAACTTGTTCAGTCAAACACATACCAAGCAAACGTATCAGATATGGGCTGTTCACAGACGCCATAACATGGGCTTCCTGGATATGAATAAAATATAAAATAATTTTCAGAAAAAAAAAAATATATATTCAAAATTAGACTACAAAATTCTAAGCTCATGGAAATATTCTTATGTTTTTAGCATAAACATGACTTGGAATTATAACAGTATGTAGGAAATTCGTTTGTGAATTAATAGGGAATCATTTGAAATTTACCAAATGCATATAAATCAAATATTCTAGATATTGTGATCTTTAATTGGTGACGACATCACACTAGTATTAGTATTATCTTTTTTAGCAGGTGCGGTGGCATAGTGGGTTATACTTGAATATGACAGAAAGGAAGGTTAAAAAAATAATAAAATTAAATCTCAGGGTAAAATTCTCAACCACGCCGTATTAAAATTGGGTAGGCAATGCTGAACCACAATAGCTTCATTCTTTTTAAACTATAGTAGTTCCTTACCTAACAGTGAAAGCGAGCTACACAGCCTTGTTCATTGAGACAGACAATAAATAAATAAGTAGTATAAAAAATGGTCATACACTTATTTGACGTTGAGTAACACTACTCAAACCACTAAAATACTTAACAAAAATCCCAACAAACTGAAATTATATGATAACACACTTACGTCTACAATTTCATTATTATTTGAAAATGTTTTCAGTTGTTTGACTGCTACAGCTATCTTGATTGTCTGGTCCTGAAAAAAGACAAAAATATTTTTAGAGGTGATAAAATTTTCCAATATATTATTTATGTGTGGCAATATAAATCATATATGAAAAATCCAAAAGAATTTAGTACAGGGTGCAGGGAAGTAAAGACAATCAAAAGTGAAAGAAACATAACATCCATATAATAACTAATAAAAAAACCACTATCAAACTAAACTTACTTCAATATGCATTGGTGTCCAAATAGCCTTGTATACAGCACCGAATGCACCAGAGCCGAGTGTTTTACCAAGTGCAAGTTCGCTTTCTTTAACAATACGAAGATGGGCTCGATTAGGAGCAGTTCCACTAGGTGTCAGTGGAGTGTTGAACTCATCAACTTGGGCACTCTGCAATGCAATATATAATAATATCATCATTTTTCAAATGTTATTTGACATCATCTTTCTAAAGGCGCGAAAATTGGCGGATTAAGCTAAGTGATAGGAATAGGTTCGCGGTTCCAATGCTTTGGGCTATCATTATTTGCGAGAGATTGCCACCATCGTAGGATGGCTCATGTAACTACTGGTCGGATAAGGCCATGGTTTGCCATAGGATTAGGCCGTCTTATCGACTTTCCAATACTCTGGGATAAATAGGAAAATCCTATCCTAGTGTAGTATAGAACCTTCAATTTTACGTATGCGTGGTTTGTTTTTCTAAAGATCTAGATTTCAATGCATGAGGACTCTCCTAATCAATTAAAATGCAGCAATTTACACAAAATAAAATAAAATTCTCAAATACCATCAAAGTCAAACCCAGTACATTTGAATATGATATAACTACTCACATCTCCAACTATTTTTTCTCCGATATGTTTTCTCATTGTTCGAATAGTTTTCCGACACCTGAATAATGTAATGCCAACTACAGCACCAATTATCAGAAGCACACCAATAACTATGATCCATGCAATATATGCCGATGAGGGTCTAAACAAAAACAAGAGCGATGCTCAAATATACAGACGTCACATATATTTATGCTAGAACCTGAGCAAAATAGAATTTGCTCAAAAGATCTGCAGACATGCAGTAGGTAGGCGTTTTAAAAAAAGTGTTGCCTTTCATTGAAGCAGTGAAAGTGTTGGAGAAACTTCGGGTACCAGATGACATTAGCACATCTTAACTGCACTCTAAATTTTATAACATGGGCACAAAACAAATGTATGTGGGTGCAACACAGGTGCAGTTTATATGTGGTACAAAAATTGAAAGTACTGTATTTTTCGCCTAATGAGTCGTCATGACGAATAGGCCGGGGTCCAGTTTAGCACTAAAAATAGGGTTCTTCTATATTACCACCAGATAAACTTGAGGCAGAAAAACCTTATTACTTCATTGTTCGTCAGTTTAGCACCAATGCGGGCTCTATAATTATCTTATTTCCATTTGAGCAGAGTCTGTTAAACCGGAACATGTTTATTTCGGCAGAATCATACCCTTTGGATTTAACTTTTCTGCCCGCCAAAGTCTTAATTCAAGATCAGGAAGATAGTAATCAAACTGAACAACCCATAAACTCAGGTTTTAATTTTTGCTGTATCGGCAAAAACCAAAGTGCCATAAACGACCCTATCTCATTGTCATAAGTCACTGTTTTTATTTTGAAGTACCCAATATCGGCCAGAAAAAGGTTGCAAAAAGAACGCACAAACCACTTATAATTGCCAATCTGCCATTACTTTTTTAAAAAAAATAACTGATGACAGAAGTCAAATACCAAACAATGACAGATTGTTTGGCGCCAAATATGAAACACAAATCAGTGTCAAATACAAGTTATGCTCCTGAAATTCCCAGGATGAGGTAAAAAAATTGATTCGTCTAATAAGCCAACCCAAGAAAGTCAGAAAAATAGGGTATTAACTTTAACTCACACTGAGTAGCAAGCATATGCATCTGTTACATTGTCATATGTACAGCCCAATGGGCAATCTTCAACTTCTAAATGATCCAAACACATCTGACAAGTTGCATCTTGGTACTGAAATAACGAAAAGAGAAAACTGACAGAGCAATTCATATTCTAAATTAATCAGTTGTATGATACAAGTTGCGTAATGGTGTAGATAGATTCCTGTGCTGGTAGTCTTCCCGAATCATCATTTAAAATAAAATACAAAAATACGGGAGAACTCGTACTACACGTTTAGTAAGCAACGACAGCTTTTGATGAGAACTAAAACAGATGAATGTTTGGTTATCATTGGTAGAAGAGCAATGAATCAGAAATAATGACCCAAATGACGGTTGCAAAAAAAATCTGACCCTTATGCTATTTGTTTTGACCCATGTTTCCCGAGCGCGGAGAAATTTCATTGTTTTCCGAGAGGGAATGAAGAAATAGCCTATTACTTTGCTTTCGGTGTAGTTTTACTAATAATGTTTGGTACTTAGTTTTATTATAATAAATATTCATTGATAAAGATTTAACAGATAAAAGAGTTTAATAGGAAGATCAAGAATAGGCAAAGGTAGGAATATATTGAAAAAGGCTTGTAGCCACTGGTTTAGGCATAAAAATTATGTAACCCTTGATGGAGAAAAGACAAAATAAAATGAGTTCATTGGAAGTTGGCATGATTTATACTTACTATCATTAGCTTTGTTTCTGGATCATATTTTCGATGACAGAATGAACATCCATCTTTTCCATAACTGTCTTCAGGACCATCGCACCTGATTGAGAATCAGAAACATAAATCATCTTCGTATTTTTGTTTTATTTTATAGCCTAAAAAATATATTTATATGCATTTTTTTCCAAACAAGGCTCTGGTACGAGCGGCCACTGTTATGTAACGAGCTACTGCAGTTTGAAGGTTTGGAAACTTTCTATTTCGGCATTTCCTTCACAATTTATTACACAATATTGCATATTCCATATTCATAGAAATAGGATATCATAATTATAAGTAGATCAACAAATATTACCAGTAAAAATATTCAAATTAATAAAAAAACTCAAGTCAGCATATGAATCACATCACTTATAGATAATAGAGGAAATGGTCGTTCAAATAACAACGTCCCGGAAATCATTTCGAAAATAAAGAAAATCTTGAAGAAACTCACCCTCCATCTATACAGTGTGGGCTGCATGGCATACATTCATTTGTTTGACTTGGGTAATGAGTTACTGGACATTTTTTAATACAAGTTCCATTGTAATGAACATTTTTACAACTAAGAGGTGACCTGAAAATATATATTGCAACATTGAACTGGGGGCTTTGCTGTTAAAATTACAAATTTTATATACTTCCAAAATTGCAGTTATTGTTATCAAACAAATAAACAGTCAGCAAAAGGAATCATCATGATACATTTATTCAATATTTTTTGTAAATATAAAGACATTTTTCTTAATGTTGTTTTTGTATTTTTGTTCACTGTATATTCATTTATATGTGTTTCTCATGTTTTCTTTATATTTTTTAAGAGCGACAAATAAACTATTTTCACATCTTGGAGCAAGAATGGAAGATCTAAAAATTATTAAAAAAATCATGTTCTCTACAATCTTCTCTCTCAATCAATCTTCTGTTTCATAATATCATCAATAAGGGCTTATTAAAAAAATGTTTTTGCCAAAGGGCTTATAAATATACTTGCAAAAAGGTTACAAGATGAAGTTAACTCCTGATAACAGGTTCAGAATACAAGACATGATAAACAAACGTGACTTCCGTGTTACACTTTTAAAAATTCAAACTTTTATTAATTATTATGGTAGGCATGAAAATTAACGGTTTGGGAAGTTGTAAAGAGAGTAAGTCAAGGTCAAGATTGAATATCAACATCTTGGTTCTTACCCCTTAGGTGAACAGTTTGTAGGTCCAGGTCCAGTACATGTTGCATTGCATTCAACATCACAAGGAAAACATTTCTTGTCAATAGTGTTGTATACACTGGAATCGAAAGAAAAAGTTTAAACCAAAGTACAAAATAGAACTTGGATATGATAAAATGAATTGTTAATTCAAATTAAAAATGCATTTTTGCGAAAACAAATTTGATATCATGATTTGGAAAATATGTTTTTTTTTTTTTTAAACAAAATATTTATAACCTTTTGCTCTAAAAACAGCTCTACATATGCAGCCACTTAAATGTAATATGCTACCTAAATTTGGAGTGACGGCATTGTCCAGTCAAATTTTTGCATCCTAGGTGAGATGGGAAGCGTGAGATTGGAAAAAGATGTTACAATGCAATGTCATCCTAGTTGGGTCCATCACTACCACTAAACAACCATGACCGTTAATTTTTTTAAATTATAGCTGAATTTTTTGTGAAACAGATAATCTCGGATCAGAACAAAAAATCCCATTCAAATTCAAACCAATAATGTCAATAACCGTATAAGGATGAGGATTTAGAAATATACAAATTTGTGATGAGAATTACTAACCCCTTTGTGAAGTTACATTCTTTGACACAGTTTGTAACATTGTGACCAGGAACCAACAGTTTTGACTCGGGATCTACGACCCACTTTTCAGTAAATCGTCCGAATTCATTTGTGTAGTCAGTGAACCATCGACAAGTGACACATTGCGTAGTGCCTGATCCCCAACAACCATTACTCGAATCACATGTTTTGCTACAAGGTACTGCATCAATATAATATGGGATTAATATCCAAAAATAAAGATGTAACATAAGTTCATTTATCGTAATTGGCTACTTAATAACAGGTTTTCGAGGTTCAGTCAAATTCAAATTCATTATAATTTTTTAAACAATTTGAAATATTATTACTGTTACGTGAATTTTTGAAGAAGACACCAATTTGAGGCTGACACAGGTTGTAAGTGTATTTATGTACATTTTCACTAACATGCAACCGCATTCAACCACTATCTATCATACATCTGCATCCGTTTTCAATCCATGCACAATTGCACTAACATACATATGCACCCACACATCTTTTCAACCCATGTACAGTTGTAGACTATTTGCAATATAATAGATGCGCATCCACTCACATTTGCAGCCCATGTACATTTGTACTATTCTACATACCGGTGTATACCCAAATTCACATTTGCAACCCATGAACATTTGCACTACTATAGATATGCACCCAATTCACATTTGCAACTTATGAACAATTGCACTATTATACATATATTCCCCCATTTCAAATTTGCAACCCATGTACAATTGCACTAATATACATGTGCCACCAATTCACATTTGCACTAATAAACATATGCCACCAATTCACATTTGGTAATCCATGTACATTTGCGATAACACTCAAGTGCATTCATATACTTTTCAACCCACATTCATTTGCACAGATTTAAATTTATAATTAGTCTGAAGTGTGTATGTGTGGTGTGTAAGATTTAAATAGTCTACCAATGAATTGGTATCAGCCTCAAAATGTGAATCTGGTTTTTTATTCAATAAATTTCCAATCAATAAATAATATTCAAAAATAATTTAATATCTAAAACGGACGGCATTACATGGTAACTAACAATAAGTTGAATTTGAAACCAAGAAAACTTAAATTTACAAACAACAACCAAAATGTACCGAAACAGAAAAAAGGATGGTTAATTAGGAAACAAATATTTGAAAATGCATCTTGAATAAACAAAAGTATCATAAAAAACTGAACATTTATTCTGACTTTGTGAGTTTAACAAAGTTGTTTTTTTATATTCCATAAATAACTCATGCAATGACAAGATCTGACTCAAAATACAGGAATGGCAGGGTAATCAAGTCTTATACTGTAAAATCTGAACTAAGTCATATACAGTTTATTAAAACAAAAATCTATTTAGAGAGCTCTTTACGAATTTCTGAAAAGAAAATGTATTCCCCATGAGTATAATTACAACAAGAAGAATCGAAAGCCAACTCAACCATAAACCATTCTAATACATGTTCTATTTCAAATTTGATAATGATGGAATATTGCTAGAATAGTTGTAACTTACAACACTTGCGCTTTTTTGCATTACTTGTGACGAAAGCGGATTGTCCAGGGTTTTTGAAAACTGTTTCCCAAAGCACAGAATCAGTGTTGCACAGTGATGGATTATTATAGACGATAACTCGACCTGATGAACACACGTAACATAACATGCATAAAATAATTGAATGTAAAAAATATAATAAGTATGATTTTCCTGAGTGCAGTGTAAAATAGACTTATGATATAATAATTCATAATAAACGAATATCGAAAATGAAAAAAAAATAAAATAATTCTGCAGGCAATATAGACATAACGGATGATTCTACTGAATGATTGACATTCACAAAGGACAAAAATAAATTCACACCACAATGCATGATATATCATGTGATTCGTTCTTACAACAAGAGCTGGCAGCTTTGTTGTTGGTTGTATTAATACGTTGGTCAGGTTGTGTAAAAAGACCCCAGTTCACTTTGTCAGCATAACACAGTTGAGAATTTTCGATGACGGCCACGGATCCTGGTAGTTGATGTTTCAGGGTTGAAATATTCAGTAAAATTTAATGTTATAATCATACGTGCAAACCCACAAAATAAATCCCTCATAAGATGGTTAGTAGGCAAATGAGATAAAAAGGAGTCCTAAGTCTGAATAGACCTAGTTTCTTTTTACCATTTTTCACAATAGCTTGAAATTAACTCACTCAAAAAGCGTCCAAACTTACGCAATAATGAGATGTTGTGAAAGGCAATGAAAAGCAGACTCGTGTGAAATTACATTATCATCAATTTGTTGGAAAAAACACAAAAAAGGGCTATTTAAATTTTTTGTTCATGGCTAAGGAAATTTTTTTTATCTGAATCTGCAATAAACTATTTTGAAATATATAGTTGAAATATGGAGAAAAAACAGCACATTAACTTCCAATGATATGTAAAGCTAGGAAGCTTCTATAAAATAGTAATAGGAATTCAGACGTAAAAAGTCACAAACATAAATGCCTGTGGGCACCATGTGGTTGAGAAAACCTTTTATTAACATCGTAAAACATTCTGTGACCTTATGATAAAGAAGAATGGACATTAAAGTTGAAAATATATCTCGTGGCCAGCACTTGTGTTAGTAATCGAGAGTAGCAAAAAAAAATCCTGCTTCACCATGAAAACTGTGGGGGAAAACTTACGACAAGAGTCACTGTTTTCATAGAGTATATCTATTGTACTGTCATTGCGTTGTCGCAATTTATCCCATACGATTGTGTCAGCATGACAAAGGCGAGGGTTTTTAGTAATACTGACAGCCCCTTGAAGAAAATCATTAAAAACTGTTATCGACAACATGTTATATCCATTAAACAATAGTACACCCCCCACACATTAATGAAACAATTAAAATAACAAAAACAGTTGATAGGTATATTAACATAAAACTAATCTTGATGTCTATCGAAATACTAAGTCAAAGATCCAATATAATTGCTAAAATTTTCAATTGAAGAATTTTCCTTTTTTTTTTTTCATCTTCAGTTATAAGAATACTATCCAATACTCATCCTGATTCAAATTTTACATAAGAGCAAAATTCAGCATAATCCTTAACAAGAATCCATTTTTATAAAGATTAAAAATTCTGATCAAGTAAACAAAATTGTGTGTCTTGTTTCAACTACCCTATTTACCTGGCACTAAACAATGAAAAACTAGAGTCTCTATTGAGTATCACTCGTTTGAACAGTCTACTGTAAATGATAGAATGAATGGACTTATTTTGGCATACCTGACTCAATTTCTTGAAGAGAATTAAGGCAAAGACTTCGCAAACTTCTGGCATCTGTCATTATGAGCAAACTATAAGCATCCATTCTTTTTTCATAACCTCTGATTCTCTTCAAATTTCTATACAAAAAGTTCATTCATTATGTTTTTCAAAATCAACCCTCAAATGATGCTTTCATTTCAAAATCGGTCAATGAAATCATTACACTTCAGACGAGAGAACAGCAAACAGTCTTAGCTAACATAAAATCTTTTCCTATACCTCCATATCTACAGACTACACCATGTGGGGATTTTTGACATATACACACTGACCCCAAAAAACAGAATCAGTAATTTACCTAATTACTTCCACAAAAATCAAGAAGACCTACTTAGCACTTGATCTTCTGTTTGTGTATCATGTACTAAAAGGTTTCAGTAATCTATGATGCTTTGTAGAAAAGTTATCTCTAGAATATGTTCCAAACAACCTGGGTCACCTGTCAAGGTCACACTGTATGTATTTACGAATATTTGATTACTAATTTGGTATAAATTGAACCTAAATTTATCAGACATACTTGAATATACAGAGATCTTCATATGGCCAGGATTCAATTCCCAGAAATCCAGTAATTTCTTCCACATTTTCAAAAACATCAAAAGCAGATTTGTCAGATATTGCAGGAATTTTACAATGGGAGTCACTGAACATGAGCAGGGATTAGCAAAATTAAAAATAAACATAGATCAAAAACTTTCAACATTTTCACTGGTGTTTTTGAATAAACTTTATTTAAAATGGAACCACCATCATTAAAAATAAACTTTGATTTTAAAAGAAGAACCACAAATGTGATTAAATGAATAAAAATAAAGTGTTTAGAGAAATTATTTCTTTTTTTTATCTGTTGCAATGCATTATATTGAAATGAGATAAATGTCATATTAATTTATAAATTCGAGATATTTTCAATTGAGTAAAAATTATTTTTATTCTATTAATGCATAGCCGAATGTCTACTGATAAAATGTAATATATATGCAAAAACGAACAATGATTATGTTATAAATGACTTCGCAAACTGAATTTTTTTAATATAACTTACAAGTTAATGATAAAATGAGTAATATTATTCAATATGAAAAGGAAGTTTTAAAAAAATGTGTTTTACTAAAAGCAAATGGAATATTATAAATATAAAACCAAAAATATATATTGCTTCAAAAACCATGTTGATATAAGAAGAGTGTGACGGCTATTGTACCAGCTGTAATATAACTCATGTATAAATTTTATAACTATGATCTCATCAATGTAAGATACAGTCAATATCAATCAACTTTGAAAACAAAGGGTGAATAAAGTCATGCAATATACAGGAAGTGGGAACACAACACCAAGTAATTGTTCCAAGGAAATTACTACAAACTGGATCGCTTAGGAATTTGAAATGCCACATTAGGTTGATGGGCATTGTTATTAGCTTCTTGCATGAACAAAGAACATGAGTTGACTAATGGATTTTAGAATCCTTCAAAATATATAGCAATTTCTATTTTTAATTAGGTATTTAATTGCAATCTAAACAAATCATATTTAAAAAAAAACAGGACTCTATATCTTCATTACTGCCTCTCCCCACATTCCTGTAAGATTTTAAGTCTATACTAAAAACGAAAAAACAATAGTTCATAGTATTACTAATTACTGATCATATTGATTAAGCAATAATAGTGCTAAACGATTTCACTGCTGTCAGAGTTGACTGCAAAGTCTATGCTTGGAATATTTAAAAACAAAAGCTGCAAAAAAAATTAAAAAGAGTCTACGAATTTTTCATAAAGCAAAAATTTTCTTTAACAGTGCAATATAAAATAATTATCAATAATAACAAAATTGCATAATGTAATGAAAAATAACGAAATGAGTAAACAATTTATTTGAGTTTTAGAAGGACAGGTTATAAAAATTTCGCTAAAATGAAAAATAAGTTCTGTGTCATGCACACGTAACATAAATATAAAAATCAAATATGTGAATAAAATCACGCTAGGAACTCTGGTACTAAATATTCTAAGCAAAATAATGAATTTCGTTCAACTTTATTCAAGCTGTCTATACTAAAATCATAAGATCGACGGTGATCCAAGTTATCAAGTAAAACAACTAACAAAATAAAATTTGAATTATTAAGTGAAAAAAACTGCAGAATTCAACAAATTAGCTTCAAATGCTAATAAAATTTTATTATTATTAGCAGTCACTTTCAAATCAACAACATTATTGAGCATCCATATTTTCATATTTGCGGAAGAACCAAAGTTTTCTTGCGTAATGCGAGTGTTGCAAATGCATTATTAGTGATGCTTGTAATACGTACCCCTCTTTCGATTCGTTTGCTACTTTTGTAAAACTGTTGACAATAGAATGCACGATCAATGAAGTGAATGTCCCAAATAGCAAGATAAAAAACCTTCATTCGAAGGTGGAAAAATACTTACACATTAATTGATAAAAAATAAACTAAAAAATCTGAGGGCTGAGGCATACCCCAGATACATTTTAAAAACCTGAACTGTTTATGATAGATTGAATCAATAATATGAATATCAATTTTCCTTCACCGAACAAGATTTAACTCGGCTTAAAAAAATTTACACCAATAAATAGACTATAATATTACAGGATGACACAAAAACAGAACCGAGGCCAAGAGTCAGATCACCAAAACTTTTGGGTACAATCATACACAAACAGAAGTTCAAGTGGTATTGTTCTCCATTTTCGTAAAAGTACCGTAATTAAGAAATTTATGGTTCTGTTTTTATGGGGTCACCCTGTACTTCGCTCCTAGATTATAAACAGTCATTCATTAAGCAAACAAATATATTATTCACTTTTATATATTCAACCAACACTAAAATTCCCCTTGTTCAAATATACCCAATTTTAACTTAAAAAATTTCCTTGTATAATCAGCGAATTTATTGTTTTAAATATTTTATGTTGTTGCAAATAACAAAACGTAGGTCTACTCTACCATTCCAAATATGTGAACAACAAATATGCGTGTGACGAACTGACAATATGGCAGAATTTGACATAAAATATGACACCTGATTTTTTGGTTTAGCAGATATCATTGTAAACCAACACATAAATTCCAGTGCAATAAATTATAATACAGAGAAAATAATATTATGAATAATACAGTGAATTCAAGTTCTCCACTCTCAAAGACCAACATAAAAATTTCCAAAGGAAAGAGAGAAGTCTATGATCATAAAACACAGTTCACTGGTCCACTTGAACAATAATGAAATCACTTATGCAACACTTGGTGCCTAGAGTGTGTGACCAACATTTTTTATTCAGAGTGACCTTCAAGATATCAGAAGAATTGCACTAATATTAAATGAGAATTATTCGAGATTTGGAAGTAATATTATTAAATAGGCAATGTTCTACAACATAATAGTTGCATTGTCTTTTTGAATAAAAATGAATGTGAATACATAGCCTACATGAATATTCATGAAAATCATACTTATTCCCATAAAATGAATAACTGTGATGAGGAATATAGAATAGGCCTACATAATAAGAATGTCTACTTCCAACATATTTTTTGTTATTCTTTTAATAGTATATTATTAACCGCCCCTCCGCAATAAAGATAAAATCTAATATTTTAAATAAAACATTAAATTAAGTGTGTCAGGTCAGGCAACATATTGAAAAAACTTTATTAAAGTTCACTAAATAGTAAAAAATATATGAAGGGTCAGACAAACAAGGTCAAAGAAATCCCATAGGAAAAGGCAGCTCATAAATAAAACATGAGACAATCAAGTAACCTATCAAAGATTTAGTAGAAAAGCTTTTTATCCGCATGCAAAACAACAATTTCTTAATAAAGACAGAAAATGTTGTGTCATCCATGTATTGGAAATTCTGCTGTAAGCACTTTAGCATAGAGACTAACTCTGTTTACCCAAGACAAATCAATGAAACAAAGATTTACAATTATCGTTGTGACATGGAAAAGAAAATGAGATAGAATAATATTGAAAAATGGACAAATATTGAAGAAATTTGAGACTCAATTATAATCAGGTAAAGTCAAAAACATTATGTTTAAATGCTGAATAAATTTTAGAAATATTTATGCCGCTGTTTTTTTTTTAAATGTTAGTTTGTAATTTTCTGAATCCTGGCAAGAGTATAAATAATACTCATTCAAAATGTTTAGAGCCACAAAATTATTTAGTCAACCATCAAATTTTTTCCATGGCTTCACAATGATTAGATTACGAGCTTCCACTCACATCAAGGTCATCACTGTTCAGATATAAGCTAGGTACTAGATTAGAGAAGATACTAATGAAATATTCACTTTCACTTTAGAGATATAAAATTTTCATGAAATATACAAATAACCATTTATTTAAGTAGGCTATTGATTGCCTCAAGATATTGATTTTTACAATCATTATGTTTTGTAAACAGGAGATGAGCAAAATTGTATAACTCAATGTTCCAAATTGTGATATATTCGTAATATTGATGGTATTCTAAATTTGGAAAAGTCAAACAACACAGAAACACAAAACAAATAAATAGAGAAGAAAAATATCACAAGGGGCTGTTTTGTCAAATTATTTCAATGGGAAAACGTAAGTGTAAGGCATAATTTAGTACCAACAGCTAATTTCATATGATGATTTTTTTAATTCCAAATACTATTCCAAATAAATAATTCCAGTCATTAATGGTAATTAAATATTTAATAAACCTAATTCATATTAGTCTATAAACCGGCGAATAAATAAATATCAAACCAAGGCCAAATAATCCTAACCACTAACTTCAAGTCAGTGTGATAATGTTCATCTGTGATTGAAATTCTGTTCTTGAATATTCGGGGTATAGAAAAAAGGACAGGTGAGGTATATACAATGTTAATTCCAAAAAGATCCGAAATTTCTACTTCAGTCAAGTATAGCATTGTGTGTAGATAACTAACCTTTTTCATATTAATAGCTGCATTACTAGCCTTATAACAATTGAAAGAAAATAACATAGAAATTCTTACCCTCTGAAAGTATTTTCTCTAAAATTAAGTGAGCCTTCTATAATTGTGCAATTTTTGCTAAAATTTCCAATATTTCCTGAATGTATTACATCATCATACATCAATGGTCCAATTTTTGCTTCCAACCCATAACAAACTGTGTAGTAGAAAAAAATGATAAAGAAAGATGAAAAAAATCTGTTTCGCTTGTTGTTCTTTGTTTCAGAATATTTTCTTCCATAATACAACAATTATTCTGAATATTAATTAAACAAATCCTAGTTCAATTCATCGATACACAGAAATCCATTTGAATTGACATTGATTTAAAAAAGTTTCATGCACAGCTTATTACAGACATAAAAGGACAAACAAAAATGATAATCTTCCATAAACAAACAAGTATTGATCATTGCTATGAGATACCAGTTGCAAAATAGTCTTGTCAAGTCAAATTTGTCTAGCGGACGAGGTAAAAGCTCACCATCCACAATTAACTTATGTATATCGATTATTTTTTATTAGTAAAAATTTACAAATAATAAAAAATTCAAAATCTTACTGTTTGTGCAGCCCCCAGGGGGACATTCCTTGCAATAACCTTTATCAGCATAATATTTCTCAGGACATGTTAAAACACATCTTCGATCTGGTTCATATATCCTCCTTGTACCTGAAGAAATCAAAAGTAAGCAAAATCATAATTAATAAAAGTTATAGAATATCTATGTAGGATTTTGGGGTTGCAACAAGGCTTATTCATATGCAATATCAATAAACCTAAAAAAACATAATAAAAGTGATTTTTTTGCTAGCATATAGGCACTGTTTGGAAAAGTGAATAAGTAGGCCTATGCATTACGAAATATTTGCTATCAAGTTTATCGGTATTTATCGGGGATGTGTCACTGATAAAAGCCTAATGGATTCAGTGAGAATAGATACCATCAAGAAAAAACAAGGCGGTAATTGGAAAATGGAAAATAAATAATCTATGAGTAGGAATGTTACAAAACGCGCTTTTTCGCGCCAAAAAATGTACGCACCACGTCTGCTAAGTACCGTAACGCCGTGTCAGAATACCGCTCATAAAAACGACTACGGGCTGCCTGCTGTTGCTTGGAATTCCATGAAATTTGGACATAACTTAGATAAAATGCGCAACTATGATTTGGTATTTGAATTTTTTCATTAGCGCATAAATTTCCCAACATTCGGGGCTTTTAAAAATTACGCTAAAGTTATACGCACTGCAAATTAATGATATTGTCTATGGACACCAATAAAATATATATGGACGCATGTATGTTCATTCCTAACTTGATACTTACCAATTTTTATGAAGTTTGTTCAATCAGAACATCGTTAATTATTACCCGCAACGAGGCACTGTCAAACTAATATGCTCAACTCCAGCGTTGATTTGCGACGATCTCCGACGGCCTCAATGATCGTTGCCAGAATAAAATCCTAAAGTAATCTGAATTATCTTAGATGTGACGTACATCAAAAAATTAAAGATTGATATGTGTTTTTTTTTCATATTTATTAAATATCTTATTGAAAAAAGTCAATTCGTATACGTTTACGAAACGGTACAAAATTAATTCAAGGCACGAGAAGTATGATCTTAGCACGCGTCTGTCAACGCGCATCAGTTATCGACTGAATGCCGACATTTTCCCTCGCAGCGATTTCTCTCGTTTTGCGTTTCACTAAGCGCGGTAAATCTCCTACGAGTTAAAGGAATATTAAATGATAATTAATCGTTCACTAAGGTCGGATATGAAAAACGCTAAATCAGTTAATTGCCGCGTATGCGGGAACTTGCGTATTGGGAAAGTCGTTGCCGACCAGAGGTTATGTAAAGTTCAGAAACTTTTTCGTACATAATTAATTGAAAAGCAGCTAATATCGTTAAAAAGAATTTGTAAATTTTTTTGCATTAGGTTTTTCTATTCACAATAACTTTTCATTCAAAATTTTTTTCGATTACCTCCAAAAATAGCCGAGATACATTCTCTTGTTTATCGGTCTGACATTCTCCGCGGTCACAGTTTTTGAGTCGGCGCAATACAATCCTTATGGAAAAATTGGCCTATCGGGCGGTACTTAAATGCAGATATCCTCCGTTAATTCTTGACCATTTTTCGCAAACTTGGTATTGTTTTCTTTATTTTCACTTAGATCTATCCACTGGTGCAGTTTTTATTCAAATCGGATGAACTTTAATTTTTTTGTAACATACCTACTATGAGAACTTGGAAAATCCCATTTATCAATCAAATCTCAAAATACAGTTTATCAGTCAGTATCAGTACTTCAGCACATTAAACAATAGCTCAGAAAATCAAAAAATAAGTAGGCTCATTTTAATAATTCAATTTACAGCGAAAAAAACGGTTGCTATGAATGCACAGAATGACTAAATAATAAATAGGAATTCATAAACATAATTGAAGTAATTAATCATTAATGTTGCATTATGTAAATGGACAATAATGTTGGCATTATGCCACCTGCCATTCCAAAAAGTAATATCCAGTCTAAAAGGATAAAAAAGGGATAACACAGCAATTACACACACGAACAATGAAATTCCTCAGAGACCATTTATAAGACTAAAATTGCAAAATAAAGAATGATACCATGCTTCCCCAGAAACTGATAATAAACACGTAATCCAGTTGTACAAACAAGAAGAGTAATTCGCATTGCCAATAACATGAATGAATATAAATCAGCTTACTTGGACATTGAGGTACACAGTACCAAACGAAACTCGTATCGAATTTTTGATTTATCAAATTCCGATACAATATCTGTAGAAAGACGGATCAGATCCTGATGGACATCGCTCTCCACATTTTCCAAAATTATTAAAATACTCGCAAGCCTAAAAAAAAAAAGTAACAATGCTCAAATAGATGGACAATGAACATCAAATGAATAACAGCAGTACCTCAGTAACAGTTATTATGATCATGCAGATACTTCAAATCAAACCACTAGCGGTGCTCCAGAAGTATGCGTACCAATATAGAGGAGAACTAATTTAGTTTGTCTATTTTACATCAATTGTGTTAAGGGACTGTAAACCTATGGGCAGGGGATAATTCACTCGGCTACACAGACAGTCCCCGAACTGGCAGTAGAACTAAAATAAGGAAAATCGAAATAAAATTATGGCCTAACCCTAACCTGGTACACATACTTAATAATACCAAAAAACTCAAAAATGCATGGATACTTTATTCAACACCTCAGCTTCAAATTTACATTTAAAAATTTATATTTTCAAATAATAAACATTTTACATACATGGCATTCTCGTTTTTATTCCCTTGCTGCTAATCCTCAACAATACATCCCGCTGCACAATAACTTTCACAACAACCACCATTTTGATTACATCTTCCAGTGCACTTATCTCTACATGGCCTGCGTGTGACTAGAAAAATAAATATTATTAATAAAAATGTATATAATGTTTCGACTTAAGAATAATAAAATACGAAGTAGAGATAAAAGATCAGAGATTTAGTTCGAACGAATATCCAAATGATATCGACGCAGTGAAACCTAAGTAGGTAGGTTATGTCATATATTTCAAAAATGGACTTTTGATTCTTCTCTAATGGGGATCAGGGGCCATTTCTTGGTATGGGCTCAAAGCTCTAGTCTCTGTACCTGCTCTAGTGTCCATTTTTAGAACCAAACTAATATAAATAGTCAATTTTCTCAAAAAATTAAAAATGTGATACAAGATGAATTGGTTTTTACTGCAGCGACATATTCAGGAGGCACAGTAATTAGAAAACATAACTGTCTTTATTAAAAGTAAAGAACCTCATCAATGGTTAGTTATTTTGAAGTATTAACTAGAATGAAATTTTTGGCACTCCTGCAGTATGTGAACCAAGATGGCGAACACCGGAACGTAGTATATGTACCAGGTTCGGATTGGGCCATAGTTTTAAGGTACAAATACTACGGGAGTCACTTGGCTCCCCTAACTTGTAATATAACTAAAATAGGAAAAATTATGGCCTAACCCTAACCTGGTACACATACTATGTTCCAGTGTCCGCCATCTTGGTTCACATACTACGAGAGTGCCAAATTTTTTATAATTCAGAAACTAGTACAATAATGTTCTTGTTCAAGGATATAGCCTATACATTTTCTTTTGTGAATATAACTATATTTAAATAAGAAAATGTCTATTGTTAACAATGTTTAATGATTATAGCACAAGTACACTAGTGCGGGTAGCATTACAATACCTAACTATCTTCACGCTTCACAGTCGAGCGATATAAAGCCTTTTACAGTTGCAATTAGACGTGTGTATAACCAGTATATGCGTCACTCAGGCACGACAAAATTGCCCTAAAAATGTATTGATGAAAACAGAAAATACTGCGACGATATCTACAATGAGGTATGTGAGAAGAAAAACTGACACTCAGAAAATTAGGTATTTTACCACAAAAAAGCAGCTCAAAAAGCATTATTAATATTGCAATCTTAATTCAAAACATCATTAATAATACTTACATTGTTGGCACAAGTCTGTGCTGTTTCCCCAGCAATGTGCTTTATCATCAACATCTTTATGAATACAAGAACTTGGACATTTGCCTATGAAGGAAAAAACATCAGTAACATTCATACCTTCGATATAGGTAAGTCAAACGCCACCCACTCACAAAGAGTGAAACTAGTTTTTAAAATTATTCCCAGTTATTTTATTCATCAGGTTTGATAATAATAAAAAGCTAACATATGAAAGTAAACTTCAATTTACTTCTAATTAATGTACTTGCCACAAATGCTTAGTGGGGGCCTTTGCTAGTGGCCCCCAGAAAAAGAACTACTCCCTGGTCCTCTAATGGGGCAGATGGCCTTGTTTGAGAAATTCTGGTATAGAGAGTCTATATAATAGGTCAATGGCACAGCAAAATCGACTCACATATTGCAGTTTTGCTGACATTCACGTAGGCTTTCTGTTCAGGTTTGTTAAGTATTTCATCAGTCCATATAATAGAATCGACATAACATAAATCTCTATTTCCATCAATCTTGACATTTCCATTCATTATTTCTGTTAATGCAATATACAAGTTAAAAATAAACGACAAAATATTTAATGAGATTAAAAAATAACAACAATGTCAAAATATTTCAGAGCTGAATATCGTGAAAAACGACTTCTTCCAATATTCCAATATTGTATGTCTGAGGAAGTCTGACCTTGGTCAGACGAAATGTTACAGAAATATATTTGTGTTAGTGTGCAACAAGAATCACTCAGGAGTCATAAATGAAATAAAATGAAGCACTGTGATTTATGTTACATTCAATTCAATAAGTTGAATTAAAAAGACTTGTAAAAATGAGCAAAACTTTTTATATCACTCTCCTTTACAGTACGTTATATGATTCACATAATCACATTCAACAATAAAATAATGTTATTCTGCTTCCTGGGATTGTGTAATCACCTAAAGGTAGTGTAATAAGTACAGTCTGGAATATTTATATTCATGATATAAAGAAAATACTAAAACAAGTTTAACCCTTGAATGAAGAAGATTGCGTCCAAACTCTTTTAAAATCCTAGAAGAAACTCAAAAAATCAACACGCAACTAAATATGTTATGTTTTATCATTCTGTATTTGGAGATTAATTCTGAGATATTCTCACAAATTTTTATTATATAGGCTAACCACAATATGAATGTTGAAAATAACATGTTAGTTTAATAATAATATCAGGAGCTAGATTCCACCCTATGGTCAATTTACATTCGTAGAATCGAGAAAAAACATCATCCAGTATGCAACGTATCGGTATTATATTACTATACCTGTCAAATGCGGCATTAATATTCCACGAAGTCCCATTATTGGATCATTAAGAACGTAATTCCCATAAATATAAAGAGAATATCCAATTTCTTTATCTGAAAAAAATAAGGAAACATAATGACGATATCATATACGTTGAAAAACTAATCAAACAAAAAAAGAAATCTAAGATGTAAAAGGAAATTTCAAAAATTTAGAAAAATATATTAATAATTTTGGTAGCAAAATTTATTCAAGTTATATTTATTTAAAATTTAAACAATAACCACAGGAGGAATTTTAGTGGTCTACAAGACAAACCAGAGACATCATAAACGTCAACTATTCAGAGAAGTTTATACTTATATTACGTACGTTTGAAATTACTGAAATTAATTGATATAAAAAAAGACATGGTAGCATAGCCAGACTCAACAATATCATAAGCAGAGCTTTCCAACCATATTGCATTCAGAAATGAAGAATTGAAACACATAACAAACCATGACATCATATAAGGAGATTAGGCCCTCATTCCAGATTGAAAATACCAGTTTAAGTCTACTGGCAACCTATGACCCTTTTAATTCCCTAAGGATAGGATAATATTATTACAATGAATTCCATAGTAGTAACGGAGAGCTATTATTAAGGGAATTTTAGATTCCTTCGAGTAAAACCAATTTGCAGAGTTACAAGAATGCACATAAGTAATAGAAAACAAGAAATATCTAATTAAACCTCAGCTTTCAATTTTTGAAAATTCGCATAATTTTGTGTTATGGTCAGCCTTAAATATATTTATGACAATGGGCAATATTGATTTAAAAATCTATCGAGATAAATTTTTTAAATATTTATATTTATTGAAAAATGTATCATTCATATGAATGAGAAAAACGATCTGATTTTTTTATACAAACATAAAAAGAATAAATTAAAATCTCTTATCAAATCACAAACAAACTCACCGTCTCTTGCCTGCCCGCAGGCCTGATTTTGTGTTCTGTCAGCATGATACAATGTACGGCCACGTATTAGTCGCAATGATGAAAGATCAATGTAATGAATATAGGTTGTTGATATTAAAACATATCCAGTGACTGTATGAATGTGCTACAATAAAATGAAACTTATTGATATTTAATTATTAGAAATCAGTCCAGTGAACGTTGTGACGTTGAGTGACGTTGAACTCTGTGTTAAATCGACTTCAGATTTAGTTTTCATCAAAAATATAGTTGGTAAATATTGAGGCAAATAAAAAGGACCCCTGACATTTAATGTCAGGAACCATTACACTAATCAATATATATTCCCAAGTAACAGTTTTTACAAGTAAGTTGTTAAAACCAAAATCAGGACAACATATCAAATTTGAAAGCTAATGCCAGACTACTTAGTCAAGCTGTACTTTTACGGTAGTTTCAAACATTCACTCACTTTTGTTGCTTCTAAAGTCCACAAGTTGATCTTGGGTTTTGGATGAATATATACAATTTCCAAATTCCCATCAATCATTGTACAATTTGTGTACCTAAGAAGTGCATCATACTGCACATCGGAATCGTGAGATGAACTCAGACGTGACGCTGTGCCTTCACAAACTGAAAAGATGTTTATTTAATTTAAAAATTGTATAGAACAATATGCTGTATAAAGGTGTACAGGGCAATAAAGCATGGACGGCTTAAGTTATATAAACGGATAAATTTATACAATTAATAAGAATCCAAATTAAAAGCAAAGGTGAATTCTAAAATATATAGAATACTATTTGTTACTCAACAGTTTTATTTTTAATTTCACATCAGATAAAATTGAAGGATTTTGCAGACATGAAAATACAATACAAAGAAAAATCATGCTATAGAAGTTAGGCATACTTCACTAGGCACATGTCAACTTAATTAAAGGACTATATTGAGCATACGGTATGTGAAAAATCTCTAAATGAACAGATAATTTTACATGGACTGGCAAACTACTGCATCTATGAATCATACTTGGGCATGAATATGTAAACAGATAATTTTAAATGGATTTTGTTGTTATAGAGCAGAGCCTCACTTTAATGAGCGAAGTAGGGCTGACTAGTATACATACAAGCTTCTATTACTTAATCGGTGTTTTCTATAAGAGAGCTTTGAATTGGAGGATATCCCACATCAAGTTTCGGATACGTGTTGAGATATTGAATATCATAAATTATTACAGGCAAAATTATTTAGTTTCTATAGCCTGTGATATGCTATTCAGAACTCCACAGATAGCTAAAAAAAATAATCATTGAACCAATATTTAAAGCATGACTGCTGGGTTGAAATTTTCTTTGTAAGCAATCACCTATTTGAGTTCATTACCAATCAAAACAGGATGTACACCATCATTTTCTCCCAATAGTAAAGTTCATTGATAAGAAAATAACTAATCATTCAATAAAAGAATTTTTTAATTATCTAAGATGACATAAAATAATTCAAACTTGAAACCAATGAAATCAAAATGCTTTCTTCCAAACCATCGAAAAACAACTTTTTTTTATAGGAAATATATTGTTTATGGTTGAAGAAAATAAACATATATTTTAACAGAAAAAAGTACAGCCGAACTTACTGCATTCTGTTATATTGCAACACTTGTCATAGGGATCTGGCAATTCCACAACAACTTTGGGATATCGGCAGTCCAGAGGTTGAGGACATATTTTATCATTGCATGAATCTGATGAAATATTTAATAAAATTTAAAATTTAATTATGAATTTATTAAATTAAAAAAATGATAAGATATTAGTTAAAAACATATGCATATATAAGGGACTTTTTGCATTTCCACGTACCAGAGCCCCATATTGAAGAAGAACAGAATATGATAATGAATAATATTATGATCCATTATTCATGAATACTTGCGAGTTGAAAGTACGGTTGGTTATCCATTAGGGTTATCTAGTTTACACAGATAAACAGAACAGCATGGGTTAGCATGGTCCATCAACGTCATTGTGTCATCAGAATGCTATGATGCAGTTATGTATATGCAATAACTTTCGTGATATCAGAAAGTACTCCATGTCTGATACAATTCTAATGAATTTGCATGCATTTTGCGCAAGATATTGAAAATATTAACAATAATTTAAAAACCCAGACACAAGTTAACTGCCAGAGTTGGCATTCGTTTCTTGATGAAACATTCTAGACAGACAACATGATAGTACTCCCAAGTTCATGATTAACAAAATTATAAAACAATATCTCCTTGAGACAAAAGTATTCCATTCAGTAAATATAAGCATATTAAATTCACATACCAGACTGACTATATCCCAAGTGAAGAATGGCAGAGAAACATAGAAGAACGATGATTTCATATAATATTCCCATTCTGAATTCTCAGTCGGACAAAATATATATGCTGCCTTTGTTTATGCTGAATTATGTTTTAGAGTCTGATTCATTCCAATTTATCCAGTTCCAGTGCAGTCGCAAAGTCTTAGGTTAGGAATACAACAAACTGCAAACACTGGCTTTCTTTGTTATACATCAGTTTGATGGAGATTGTTTTATAATGATAATAAGACCCCTGCAATTCAAGAGATGATCATGAAACAAGGTGTAAATTTTTAACAACAAAAATATGTGATAATTTGTTACAATATAATACATGAATGATGGCCGATAAATATACAGGTTGACCAAAAATGGGAATCCATAAATTTCTTAATTAGTTCTACGAAAATGAAGAAAATTAACATATTTGTGTATGATTGCACCCAAAATTTTAGGAAATTAGGAATTACCGTATTCCAAATGACCTGAGTTATGTTTTTTGTTTCAGCCTGTACGTAAAAGTGAATCTTTGTTACATAATATCCTCATTCATATCCTATGATTTCTTAATATACCATACATAAAAAATTATTGAACCTTGGCGAACCAAGTAAATATTGGTTTTCTATGGCCAGGACATATCTCACTAAATAAATATTAATATTCAAATACTCAATGCGAAAGTCTTACATTTGACTTGACTGGTATATTTCACCAGCACGAAAACACAAAACAAATTGTGTAATTTTGTGCCAAAACCATTTTCATAATGCAACATTAATATGAGGTGAATTATACATATCGAACAAAATGTAGAAAACTAGCAAACACACAAAACATAAATATAGCTCAAGTGCAATGATAAGAATTTATTATTTTTAAGATATTTATTGTGAAAATATTCTATTCATTGGGTTAGCTCATAGCCTAAAAGTAACATGTCATATAAATTGGAAGAAAGAATAATCTTGTTGTTCTTTAAAAGTCTAAAATTTTGGATTATTCCAGCCGACTCACCCAAATCTTGTACTATTCTTTATAAATTAAGCAGAAACCTGATTTTTCCTAAATATTAATATGAATCTTTATCTAAAATCACTGCAATCCTATGAGTACATACATTGAGTGTTAATGTTATCAATCAGCATTAAAATGAGCATTAAGCATAAGCATGAAAATTCGCCTCAAATTGACCACAAAAATGTGTCGCCTCAAGATAAAATATAATAGTGTTTAGGAGAATTGATACCTAGAGTGATCTGAAATTAACCATAATTTCACCAAAAAAGGGTTATTCAAATTTTATTAGCAAATACAAATATCTATATTTTTATGTCAGTATGTCAGCTTGAAAATATATTTAAATGCTTGTCTGCTAACCATTCAGAAAACATTAATTCTTTCAATGTAAAAAAAAAATTTGGGAGTTGTGCTAGAATACAACTTTATCAATAACAAGAACAAATTGCTTTCATGTTTCTATATGAAATGAAACAGAAATCTATGTTTATATTCAGAAAAGTTTTTTTTAATCCGAGTTTCAACAGTGCAACTCGAGCCTTCATAAACACTCATTAACAACAAAATAGAGAACAGAATTTAATTTGTAAATCATAGGCCAAATTATGATCAAATCCTTTGCTAAAAAATCTATGTCACATACATTATTAACAAGACTCTCAATAACAAATTTTTGGTTCCAATACATATTTCCTCTGGTATTAATAAACGATTTCAAATCTGATTCTATTTAGCAAAATATTATATTATCATAAATTTTCTTTAAATTTGAACTACATATACATAGTAGTGTCCGATCCAAGATGTCCTGACATTTGGTTCCATAAAACAAACATTCGATTTGACTCGAAATGAAGGTGTCTGGAACGATGGCAGATGCGTGCATTAGATCGTGCCATGCTTGTCTGAATAATGTTTTTTACTAAAAATTCTCGAATGCTACCAGTACGTAAAAAAAAAATTTCGGATCGAATAAAACAAACACCTTCATTTATCTCTCAGATGTGCCAGATCGCACCAAGCTTGTCTCAGTAATAATTCGAATCAAACGTGAGTCGGCCGTCACTTGACCAAAATTGCGTTTTTCTAAACAACTCTCGAATGCTACAGTAAATTATTTTTGCTTCAATAAACTAGAATATTTTTTCTGAGTAATCCAATGGTGATTTTTCAGATTGTGCTTTTTTTAGTTTATTGTGCAGTGCCAGTCTGCCGATTTGAGTCAATAGAGGTCCAGACTGTCTCGTAAAGGAGGGGTTTGCACTCACTGCTGCACTGTTATAACTAATGTCTTTTAATATGGAGGCACTTCTTGGAATCGAAGAAATTTGCCCTACTGGATTGTGTTTTTAATATAGATTAATCCAATCATGTTGTTATTATAATGATAATATATTGGAAGTTTGAATTACAGAATTAGGCTGTTTAAATAATGAGATATTGTGAACCTTCTTACAGTCTTAAGATCTCAAGTACTGTAGTTAAACAAAATTGAGTAAAATGATTGGTTGCTGCAAAACTGTGAGTGTGACCCATATCAGCATATACAGAAAGCTATAAAATATAACAACCCAGGCTGCCAGGATTGTTACAAATTGCAGAATTGCGAAAATCTGCAAGTGCAAGGAAAACAAACAACGAAAAACTTATGATCGATGTTACAATGCCAGTGCCATCCTGCGATGGACTAGTTTTATCTGAATTATTATTTTTATTAACAGAATCAGGTCATTATTCAAAAAATTGCTTTAAATCATTCGAAATGATGACGATTCAAATCGGTTTAATATCTGAATGTGAAATTCTAAAACTGACATCCTATCCTCACATAATCTTATTCAATTCACTAAGATATGCTGGAGACACACAACCTGATTTTCAAAGACTACATCGATGCACCCAAAGGGGACAGAGATTTGCTACCGGTAAGTCAGCAAGTGCTGAAGTGGCAGAGTGTAGGAGTGCAGGAGTCAGGGAGTGGGGGCGGGTCTGAATTGATAAAAGCCAAGTTTTAAAGTACGGTATAAGTTTATATTGACTTCATAATAAGCATAAGATAGGCCTACGATAAAAACAAAATAAATAGGATAGGATAGGATTTACATATTTATCCCGGGGGAGAGGAAAGCCGATAAGACGGCTTATCCGTATGGCGAACCACGGCCTCTCGTCCGGTTACCATTCCAAGTCGGGTATGGGATTAGTTTTTTACTGTATTGTTTGTTTTCGGAAGCATGGACTTGGTGGTGGAGGAAGCCGTAACCGACCAGCGGTTACGTGAACCACCCAACGACGGCGAGGAGTCCAGCAATCCTCTCGCACATAACCATCCCTGCATGGGATTCGAACCTGCGAACCCACGCAGAGTAGTTAGAGGTGCGGTGGCGAGCGTATTCCTAACGCTTAGCCCGTTGAGCCACACTGCCGCGCCAATGAAATTGATTACAGAATCAGGAAGGTCAACAAACAGACAAAACCTTCAGTCAGTAGACTAAGTAAAGTCAGAAAGTCTAATTTTATTTAAGTTACCAGAAATAGAAAAACAACACAAGGCAGTTACGGTAGGGGTACCGGTAATTGAAGTTTAATTTCATTAATATTGTATAGAAACCGGTACCAGTACATTGATTATGTGAAATTGTAGGTGAAGAATTTTACCTGTACGGTACCGGTAATTAACTTTTTTTTTTTTTTTTGCCAAATAGAATTCCAGTGCCAATATGAAATTCAATAACACTTTCACGATCACCTATCCCTGATGATAAAGCATAATCTGGTCTCGCCCTCTTCAGCCCACTAGTGTACGTTGGTTTTATTGTGCAGTGATAGCTCGTCGAGATCAGGGATGTACAACCTGCTGCAGTACGTGGAAAAGGTCAAAATTGTCTTTACAAAAATCAAAATTCTTTATTTATTGTTTACTACATCTGTGATGGCTTTTGCGTTTGTCTGCACAAAAAAAAGAGCTGTGCTGAAATATGGACACGAACATGGACATGACTTTCTGTGGGCTCTATGAAAAAAATATTTTCTCATTTTAACAATTTATGTGATGACGAATTACAAATTAAAAATTGCGCACCGCATGGCTGTTCCGCATTGGCACTCGCGATCTGATGTTTTGCGAATTCGGGAGTTTTTTAGTGACACAAGATGGTATTTCGATTTGTATTCAGACTGAACGTATCATCGTCAAAAAACCTGTGAAAGCTAGGACAATCCCGGCACTAGTGTCCTGGGACTGGTAGCCTACGGTCTTGCACACCGACCCGCACAAAGCAATAATCAATTACTGTGGATTATTTTCGTTATTGTATCATGTTTATATTAGTGTTGATTTTGTTTTTGTGGCAATAAATCTCTCTCTCTACGTGGATATGGAATGTTCCGATATGGAATGGCAACTGGACGAGAGGCCGTGGTTGGCCTAACTAATTTCAGAAATCTAGCTGGGACACATAAAAATTAGTTTTTACATACACGAATTCAAAAATTCTTACAATGCAAATTTTATTTATTTAACGTTTCATTGGGACACTGACATTTCGATTTTTTGCACAATTTGTTAACATCAGCTTTGACAAGAGTTGTAGCAAAGACAAAAGACTGTTTACAAAGACAAAAATTTGCAAAATCAACTATACAGTGAAGTTGATTTTGCAAATTTTTGTCTTTGTAAATCGTGTTTTGCATAATGTCGCGCAATACTATTATTGATTGTCGTATTTTTATTTATAAAGTATTTTCATTTATGTAAATATCAATGATTGAAACTGTTAGTTCACTCAATGACATATAACAACATGATGCGCAACTCCGGCATTTTTGTCCGAAGATCGTATTCGATAGCACGCTCCAATGCACATACTTGACGAGACGAAAACGAGCGGATGTGTGCTGCTTTCAAGGCGTAGCACGAATGGTGTTCGTGCCTGCTTTGACAGTTGTTGTCGATTTTAATGATATTTTTGAAAGTTGGGGTAAAAAGAAATCGGTAAAAGGTAAGGTGAATACTATTGTTGTATATCACACCCGGGCATCGCACTGTTAAGTACATGTGGGAAAGCCAGCCTTTGTCAAATACTACGAAGTTATTAATTCAGTACGGTACGTAGTTGCCCATTTGCCGAAATTACATATTTACTTACTCCTTATGGTTTCAAATAGTTCATGCACCTCCAGTTAGATTTTTTTAATCAGTGAGGATATATACTCATTGTTGATTGCTGCTCA